TGCCTAGTGGACAGCTTTCCACTCTCTCCCAAGAAACCCTATGCATGTTGTTTAAAAAATCCCCATTAGAAATGGTGAAGTCAAAAATGGTGAGGGGGCCATGAATTCAGGCTCAAAAACCAACATCTCAGATCAATTTGAAGAGTCTAAAGGTAATTCTGTGCTAATCCAGAAGCCAAGCTAAAATGGGGCATCATAAGGACTTTCACCTAAACACATTTTTGGGACAGCCTCCAGCATTGCTATCAGCTTGCCCAAGAAAGAAACATTTGTGTTTTCCAAAGCAAAAATAACTTCAAGAACACGATGTCTCATTATACAAACCCTCTTTTATGGGTTGAGGATCTCTCTCTCTCTCCTCCCTCCCTCCCCCTCCACAAATCAGCCCTTTAGAGTGATGTCAGTTGGGCATCAGGCAGGAGGAGCAGGAGACACGTTGGCATTTCACAACTCCATCCACTTGCTTGATATCCACGTCTGCAGCACTTTAGTATCACTGCAATGAAATATTGCTCCTATTTCAGTGCACAATAAAAAAAATCCTGCTTAATAACGGCTCAGAAATAATCCTTTACAATTCCTAATTGTTTTTTAAACTGTTATTGTTTAATGTTATTGTTTCCTATGCAGCCCTTTCCAGCAGCTGCACTAAGGAACCAATCCTTACTGAAGACAACAACCTGCAGTGGCCCCAAGGTCTCCTGGAGTGCTCTTATTTCAACAGAGCCAAAAATGACATGCTACTTTCAATTTTCTTTTCTTTTTTGTTCCATCCATTATTTTTTGTTGTTTATTCAGTGCAAGAAGAGAAGGCCATGAGAAGGGAGGTAGGAAGGGGTGTGTGTATGTGTATATTTTGAAATATTTATTCGCCAGGCTGGGTTTAACAGCCTTTGAACAACACATTTTTACATGAGTTTTCAAGATATATCCTGTACACAATCACTAAACCATGACATGGATTTTAGAGACAGTCTGAGCACTGATTTAAAAGCCTTTCTTTCTTCTTTTGGACATTCTTGCAGATGTTGATGAAATAATTTTGAAGATTTCTTTTTCTTGGAGGATTGGAAGGCAGAAACAAAAAACAAAATTTAACAAAACACCTCAGAAGCATGCAACATTCATTGTGGAAATATTACATCTCTTCAAAAACTATTATAAGATCATTGTGCCTTTGGTGCCTCCTGATATTGTTATTCTTTTCATTACTACTCCAAGTATAAGTTATGAATTTTGTCTAACAGAAGGGTGGCATTGAGGTCAGTTGTCACTGCTGAGCGATCACATTTTTACAAAATGCATCCAACTTGTATTGACAATGACATGCTAAAATAACAGGTGAGGCCTGGAATCTAAACTCAGCCATGTTTCTCAATACAAAAATGTATATTTACAAGATGATAACATATTAAGGAAACAGCTTTCTTCAGAGTCGTATTGTTCAAGTTTATGATATATAAATATATATGTTTGTAAAAAAACCATTAGGGTGCTTGTGATGTTGCAGAAATAAGTCAGCAAATAAATAAAAGGAACCATCAGTAAACAAGTTACAATTTGAAGAGAGAGTATCCAGATATTATTTTAGTCTAGCAGCAATTCCTAATTCAGGATCTTGCCCAGAATTACACACTCAATTTTCCTTCAATTTCTTCAACACATGAAAGAGGCTACTATTTTGTTTACTTTTCCCCTCACTGGTAGAATGGCCTATAATTTGAATATCTAATTATCAGGTATGATTTAAATAAAAAATTAAAAATATACCGTTAAAATCTATATGAAATATTTAGAAATGGAAATTCTGAATAGTTCTATATCAAGCACACTAGCTTACATACAATATAAGAGATGTTTACTGTTGACTTTTTCATCCTCAGAAAAAGAAGCCGTATCAGCTGGTTACCAGCTACAGATTCACACTCCCCATGTTGAGCCCCAAACAAACAATATAGGCATTTAGGAAAACACAATTCAAGTAACAATAAGGAGCTGGATTTTAATTTTATTGGTGTCTCCAATGCACCCACAATGAGGTACTACTATTTGTTCTGGTAGGCATTGAAGAATTGTGACAGATGTTCTTTCAGAGGGGAGGAGGCAGAGCAGAACGTAGAACAAAATAAATAGCATTTGTGTTGCTCCCATCAAAACTTGTGTTAGATACCATCCTTAATTTAAAGAATTAGGATAACAAAAAATATTTTAGCATTCATCACAGGAACTCTAACACTTTGGGTCATAAACTCAAACAGATGAACGTGAGTGTGTGTGTGTGTGTATACATACACACACATATACATATATAGAGTACATACACATACATACATATATACATATACATTTACATATATATATATATATACATTACACACACACACACACACACACACACACACACACACACACACACACACACACACACACATATATATATATATATATATATATATATATATATATATATATATATATATATATGTGCTTTCGTAGATTTTCACGGGTAGAGGTATGCAAGTTTTGGTGTATTTGGGTCTTTTCCCGTGTAAGATTGAAAGTATCTTGGTGACGTTTTGACGAGGTCCCACTCATCATCTTCAGGCTGGTGTCTTCGGCTTCTTTATAGAGAGACGGCAGCTCCGATCACGCTTTCCTCGCAGAAGCACAAAGCCAAAGACACCAGCCTGAAGATGACGAGTGGGACCTCGTCGAAACGTCACCAAGATACTTTCAATCTTACACGGGAAAAGACCCAAATACACCAAAACATATATATATGATTCTTTCACAGAAATGATCCCTCATTTGTCAATACACATACACATTCTGTGCTTTAACTCATATGTCAAGTTTTTTTTTCCTCCTGAACAAGACTTATTGCACAACACTATTTTTACCTTCAGCAGAGTCACGTGATGTACAATAAAGTTAATTGTGCCACCAACAAGACATATTTTCCAAGAAATCCATATTAGGAGAAACTTCACTTTCAGATAAGAAGTCTTGCTTTTGCCTGATGTAAGAAATAAATAGAACACAATTTCTCCCCACCCTGTCAACAGGAAAACGACTGAAATATCTACACAATTTCTTAAATAATAAGGTTCTGTGATTTTTCTCTGATAAAAAAATAATTGCCATAATGCTATTTGTTTTGTCTTCATTAATAAAAAGGAAACTGCATTAAATGGGTTTCTCCATTGCATAGAATGATTCTAATACAATCCAGATATCTGATCCCAAGAAACACTTTGGAGGCAATTGCTAGTCCCAGCACCAGTACAAGAGGGATCAGCTGATAGACAACATCTTCAGTAGCACTCAATTATATTTGAAGAACGTGAAGAGAAAAGAAATTCTTAATAGCCTTAATAGAAACTTTTTTTCCTAACAACCCTCCAATTGTCACAAATCAGGCACATTCCTCGAAGCAGGGCTGTTACAGCATGCACAATGACGACAGGTCCAAGCAGCATCACTCGGTCCCATGCAGGTCATTGGCTGAAAAATCTGGAGGTCAAAGGACATTTAACCCTGGGTAGCAGAATTAAGAATTTTTTAAAAGAACAAATACATGAATATTGGTATTCACATGAATAGTCTCTTGCTCTTGACTTCCTCAGCCCATAACAGCAGCCTAACCTTCTCAATTAAGAGTGATAATTAAAGGCTTATTTATAAGCCTCACAATTGTTGCTTCCTAGTTCTTGAAATCTCCATGGCAACCACTGGGAGAGTCATTGTCTTTGTTGTAAACATTGAGAAGAACAAAATTATCATTCATCTGCACAAATTGCACATCTCAGAATTTAAGACTCATTCACACAGACACCTGACACCGAAAGACGGAACGGCTGCTTCAGAAACTGTTTCGGAGGTATAGTTCCAGTCTATGTACGACATTTACTCTCCTTCTCTTGTGGTACCCAGAAGCTGAAGTACTAAATCATTTCTGAATGATTTGGGGGAATGGCCATGCCAACTATCCTCAAGGATCGAATTAAAATAGGTATAATTATCAGGAGATTATTGAAAGTTAAGTCAGAACATTGGCTTGTCGCATACATTCATATACCCTATTGCTCCCCGTTCATTACAGACACAGGATTAGATATTAGTAACGGCTAAAACTGGGACTGTGAGCCCTTTCTTGGTTTTTTATTGGCCCATGAAATGTTTCTTTATTAAAACATAAAATATAATGTCAATACTCTCTTTCCTGCATTTATTTTATAGCCTCTGGAGCTGCTGAAAATTGTTCACTGATTAAATTAAATTAAACAGATATTTAGAATAATGTATTCAATTTATTCATAATTATATTTATTTATTTATAATTATTATAATGTATTTATAGAATTGAACAACAATTGTTCAATTTATAATTTTTAGATATTTTAACTTTAAAGGTAATAAGTTAATCACTCCCATTGCTACTTTGCTGTGCCTATCAGCTTTTGCTACTGCACAGATTCTATCATAAGAAGAGAAAGCCAATCAGCATCGCTACAGGCTAGGCCATCATTCAGTTTTGTCCACAGAAGCCATATGTAGATCCATTTGTATTCCTTCTGCAAAATACCCAGTGGGTGGTAATGAATGCTGCAGGCTTAGAACTCTCTACAAAGAGACCTACAAGACCTTCTCTCTGCACTTTCCTTTTATTCAGCAGAACAGCCCTTGCGAATGGAGGTGTGCGCATGGGATGAAGTTTGTAATATGCCACTATGCCAACCAATGAGGATGGTACCACATTCTAGAAGTCATTAAAAAAAAAAAAGATTCATAACTCCAGAATGAGCCGAGAACCACTGGCACTCTGATTGTATCTAAACCATGGATCGTTTCCAACTACCAACCTTTTAAGTCTCGGTTCCTTCTACTCGACAACAGCAAGACCGGCAGACAGTGACACACAACGATAGCCATATTTGTTTAGAAGCCCTTTGAATCATTGACTCCATTATTTGTAAACAAGAGACTGAGAAAGGCAGGAGGATGGTGGCTTCTTCCACACACTCAGGGCTACGTTTTATTTCATGCTATGGTGGCAACTGTACAACAAATCCTGATCCCCCCCCCCCAATTTCTCTCTCTCCCTTTGGACTTAATATTCTAAGATCATGATTCTGCATTATTCACGGAGAAACACTGAAATTGTTACTCTGAACTGGTACTCCAAGAAAAGAAATATAAACATTGCTACTATTTAAAATAAAAATAAAAGATACTGCCATTTGCCCCTGAGGCACCATCTTACTCTGAACACTTCGAAAGTACAGAAGAACGGAGGTGAATAATCTTCTGATCGGCGAAACTAGGAAGGCAGTCAGTCCCTGGGTGCTTTTGCATAAAGCGGCCCCCCTTCCGATGGCACGCAGGTTCCGCTCTCTGGGAGTCAGTCTGCCTCCAAACACAGCCAGAGTTTCTGCATTCCCGTTGCCTTTGAGCACAGGTGTACCGTTCCTTGACTGCATGGCTACAAAGGTTTTAACACCACTGAACCCTCAGTTTCACTGTCATTATTCAAGTGGACTTATTTTATCATCTGAGCCAAGCGTGATGTTTTTCTTTGGCTGTCTTGTTCTTGCTTTTTACATAGTAAAACCAGTGGACTAGCCCTCATGAAAATATGCTAAGTAGCCCAGAACATGTGTTACTTGTTTCATAGTTGGCAAAACCTACCTAAGCCTAACGTCAAAGTGGAGTCCCGGAATCATACAAGTAGACTCTTCCAGCTTGATCGGTCTGACATCAAACAAGGATCTCTTCACTCAGTGGGCTTGTGTGGAACTAACTAAAAGTTTGTGCCAGTTTACAATTCTTTTCCTAAGGTCCACTTTATCAAGCCAAATATATGCTTCACCAATCAAGGTTTTCTTCATAAACTTTCCTCCATTGGAAACAAGAAGAATCTAGGAAAAACAGTAGAAAGTGATACGTTTCATACAAGATTAAAAAGTTACAAGCACTTAAAATACCCTTTTAAAAAAAATTATAAATGTTCCTGTCATGTTAACTCTTTGAAGAAAAAAGGCTGTTGCACAACCATTTCACATGGGCTCATGTCCAACCTGGTAGTTCAATACTGCCATGGAATAGATTCATCATATATGCCATTTATTTGAGCAATGGCCCATTTTCCTCCCAGAGGCAGTTTATAGGAAACTTCCTTCATCTAATGAAAGTTATTATATCACAAAGAAAGACATTGGAGCTAAGGACTATAATACACACACGTGCACACACAACATCCTCCCTCCTCAGTGCTTTCAAGCTCCAGTCTGCAACCTGGTGACTCTTTGTCAACTGTTTAAAACTGGCAATTTTAAAGAAAAGATAGAAAAAAACACCTCATAATTTTAAAACAACAATTGAGAAACATGAATATGAAACGTAATCTGTAGCTATCCAATTGGATATCAAATAATTAACTTCTACTGCCAAAAATAAAACAAAGAACAAACAAAACCAAACTCTAAGAAATAACATTAAATTAATATAAATCACCAAAATGTGTCAGATAAATTAAATAATCCATAATATGTCTTCTCTCGTACAATATTGTTTCTTTACTTAGTTTGTATAGATCATGAAATCTATGTGAAAGGGAAACATTGTGTGACAAAAGAGTGTCAGGAAGAAATAAATCCTGATTGAAAGAACTTTTATGTTTACTTATCACTTTGATAAGGATGATGGAGGTTTGCACAACATGCTAGGTAACGTCTGGAGAGTGTCTGGCTCGGATTCAAACTTCTGGAACCGAACACCTAGTTGCATAAACGAGGCTACCCTGAAAGACCAGGCTGTGGTCGGGCTATAGAATGCCAGCCTGTTAGCTTACATAAGAGACCCACGTCATCATACTATTGATGTAGGCTTCAGTAATCCATTTTAGATATACTGTCATCTCAGTTGCAGAAAATCCCAAAGGGGCAACTTATTTTTTTATATATGCTGAGAGCCAAAGCATTCAGCTAAGCTATCGACCTGAGAAGAGAAAGGATTTTAAATCAATTACTTTAGGTCAATCTTTCTCAACCAGGTACCTTCTAGTTATGACTATGTCACATTTGGAGGACATTAAACTGAGAAATATTTTCTTCTACAAGACTATTCTCCCTTAAAATGCACAAAGGTCAAAATGGGAGGTGCATACGTCATAATGAATAATCATACAATGTGCTCAGGACTGGAAAATATTGTCAGCTCTTTCCCTAAAAAAAAGAGATACAATATCACCAAAACAAAAGCAGAAAACACAACTACCACCACCAATAACTGTTTTGATAATTTGCCAATGTTGTTGATCTACAGGATAACTGAAATATCTTCCAAATCTTTTGTTCTATGTTTTAAAACCAAAACAAGATGGGATTACAATAACCTCAAATGAGAACTTTCTAAAATCTTCCTACTCAAAATATCACTTGAAAAATTCATTTATGCTCAAGGAGAAGAGCATGGAAATGATGGGAACGTGGTTTTTTGCAGACAAAATTGGAAGAATTGGTCAAGTGCCTTGCTGAAATAAGCAAAATAGTTAACAAAATTGAGAGAATATTCTTAAAAACATTATAAATATTAGAGGCGGGTGAGTGAATAAAGATGAATTTCAGATGCAAATATAGAAGGTCCACGAAGTATGAGGTGGTTGCATGCACTACATCAAGGAAGAAAGCGAGCAAAGTACTTGGAGCGAGTGGCCAGAGGGACTCAGGCTGAATCGGAAGGTCTCATTGAACGAAGGCTCTCGGTCGTGCCTGCACACTCTCGTTTTCTTCTTCACCACCCTCTTTTGAGTCCCAAGGTTGACAACGTATAGCTTTACATATAAATCTGTGGAAACAGATAGTTTGGCCTATTTTATAGAACACTCATAGATTAGTAATTAATTCAGGATGGCAAACATTCATACGTCATTAAGATTTAAAAGAGACTTCTCTTGGTTATTCCTCTACTCAGTATCTCAGTATCTCTGGCTGTATTTTGAGCTTCACAACACCCCCTATGATCCCAAAGCTGTCCCAATGGTTATGGAATTTACTGAATAAAATTCTGCAATTAGATATTATTCTATTACACCAAGTGGCCTTTACCTGATTAAAACGGTCAGCCCAACTAGGTTTATTGGATAATTCAGTTCACTGTGTTAATTGTTTTTAACTTGAATCATATGAATCGGATTGATTTGGTATAAATCAATTAGAACAACAATGGATGAGATTCAATTGCATTCTCATTTGGAAAGTAATTTGGAAATATAGATGGCTGCATTTGAGCCAGTGCTCTGAACTGAGTATTCACAGAGCCCTATCAATTGGTTGATTGATAATATTTTTAGGCGTTGGTACTCTCAACAGCTAAGACTGCATATCCAGAAAAAACAGGATTAATAATGATAATAAACAATAATGGTGCGTTGTATACAAGAAACCCATTTGCACCTAATGAGCAGGAGTAAGTTTAGCAAAGGAGATTAGTGGGAAAGCCCTGCTCCTCCGACAGATGTTGAGACTCATGACCAGGGTGGGTTATGATGAGGGAGGTTTCAGGGCAGTTTAGCCAGGGGAATTGGCAGCAGAGGCTCCAACTCTCACAGACCTTAAGGGAGGAGGGCACAAACTATGCCTTGCACTGTTCCAAGACCAAGCTTGGGTTGGGAAAGTGAGAAGTGTTTTTATATAGCAATGCATTAGGAAAGGTTAAAATTTCCTTGGCAGGCCAGCTGAAGAAGGAGCATAAAACGAAGAGGAAAACAAGAGAATTGGGGGGGGGGAGTCCCTTTGTCAGTGACAGTTATGTGGAACTAGATAACTCAAGAGAAGCAAGAACTCCAATATCAGTATCAGACTCTTCCCTGAGATGACATTCCACTGTAATCTCAGCAAACCTTTTTATGGAAGAATGTGAAAGATACTTGGACACGCCCAACCTCTCTATAGACTGGGGAAATCCATGAGTGACCTTGAGAAAGTAGAGGCATAAAATTGTGTGGGAATGATCCTCTCCTTTTGAAAGGTAGTGAGCCGTCAGCGTATGGACCCACAATAGGATGATACAGGAAATCTGTTATCTTCCTGGTATCTACACCTAGGATGTAATGGGACATTGCTAAGACTATGAAGAATCTAGGAGCCTGAGTGGCACAGCAGACTAATGCTACTGTTAAAGTAGTATTTAGCTTCCAGCTGCCTGCAATTACTGCGAGTTCAATTCTCACCAGGCTCAAGGTTGACTCAGCCTTCCATCCTTTCTAAGGTAGGTAAAATGAGGACCCGGTTTGTGGGGGCAATAAGCTGACTGTATAAAATATACAAAAGTATGAAGGCTATTGCTTAACGCCTTGGTAAGGCGCCCTGAGTCTCTGGAAAAGGGCGGCATATAAATAAATAAATTTTAAAAAATGGCCAGGGACAGAAAAGGCTCTGAACTAGACCACAAAAGTGGAGACAGGAATTATTAGAATTGGGACCACAAATAGGGTTTTTTTTTCCTCATCAGATCTTCTGATCATAGAGCAAGGTCTGCACAGTTGTTTGAATGATCATATCCCCAAATCTACTGATTAATGGGTCAAATGTTATCTTGAAAGGAGCTATTCATGGGGGGCCATTATGTTCTTCTCCTAGGTTTATGCTGAGAGGACATTTACAAATCTACAGGTGACACAAAGCTGAGAGGGGTGACTGGGCCTTCAAAGTTTTTTGAAACTCTAGAAAGATTCTAGAAACTCTTGAATGTATTCTAGAAACTCTTGAATGTTTGACATTTTACAGAGATAAATGTGTCAGGATAGGAAAAAGTCAGTGGATCCTCCATTAAACAGGGGTCGGATTACATAACCTCCAGCGTCCTTTCCGGCTCTATTATTTTTATGAATAATAATAATAGTAACAACTCACAGGAAAATTTAATGGAGAACCACTTCAACAGTTCTACCAAGATATTCCCTGGATATGTCTATGGGTGGATCAGCAGCTGAACTTAACATTTGCACATGAAAAACAGTTTCACCAAAGGGGCATTCAATTTATGAGAATAATATTTCCCCCCTTTGCATCGAATGGCAAAAATCCCACCATGTCATTGCTGTACTTATAGTAATTAATATAGCATTTATTTATTTATTTATTTACAAATATTTATATGCCGTCCTTCTCCCAAAGGACTCAGGGCAGCGAACACAAGTTAAAAAACATACAATAATAAAGGAAAATCCTAATTAAAAATGAAGTTGGGGCATGAAGTTTAATATACTGTATATTAAAATACTGATTCATGAACAAAGGATACCTGGTAAATGATCCGGAGATTTAAACTTGTAAGTTATATTCCTACATTGCAGGATTTCCACTATTAACTGTTCTCCATCGGTCTTCATCTCCTTCTTTAAGGCAATCTTTATTTCACCCATTACCTGAGTTTTACCTGTGATAATACAAACAAGACCGGAAAATTAATTTAGCCATACTGAAAGGAAATGCTGCTTATCTGCTGGATTATCCCCAACATCCCAGAATTCGGAACAGAAAAAGTAAAAAGGGTAAAGGAAAAAAGAAAGAGAAAAGAATAAGAAAATCAAAAATATAATAAATAGAAAAGAAATTGTAGAGAAGTGACTTCCAACTTTCATCACAAGTATAAACAAATTTCACCTCTCCCCATTATAAACAATTATCGTTCTATATGACATCCCATCTCTTATCAATGAGCAAGTCCATAAAACATCTTTTCTATCCCTGGGTCAGCAGAAAGTTCACAAAAGGTTGCCAGAAGTAACAATATGACTTGTTTTAATCTTGATCAAGTAAACCAACTGTACAATCCTTCTTTATCGTAATCTTTAGCTCGTTTAAATGTTGCTGCAGAATTTGATTTCTTCAGGTATTTATTTATGTATTCATCACATTTCTACCTTGCCCATCTCACCTAAATGACATTTTAGCAAGCCTGTTTTGTAAATAAAACAAATTATCCAGGTCACTTTTTTGGTTTACCATTTGTATTTTCCTTGATGTCCCGTTTCTTTTGTATATCCAGTGAGACTTCTTTTCCAAGTCATTCTTGGACTTCCTTTTAAAGTCCACCTTTGGGACCATCACTATAATCTTATAATGTTTTGCATCATATATATATATATATATATTAATTTGATTTATATGCTGCCCTTCTCTGGAGACTCAGGGCGGCTTACAATGTGTTAAGCAATAGCCTTCATACTTTTGTATATTTATACAAAGTCAGTTTATTGCCCCCACAAACTGGATCCTCAATTTACCCACCTTAGAAAGGATGGAAGGCTGAGTCGACCTTGAGCCTGGTGAGAATTGAACTTGCAGTAATTGCAGGCAGCAATAAAAACCCATTTATTTCAACTAGCTGGGCTGGCTTGAGTCAAATTTTAAACGGATTTTAAATTGGAATGTTTTAATTACGGCCAAAATTATTTAATTATTTTAAACAGATTTTAGATTTTGTATGTTTTGTATGTATGTCTTGTTTTTACTTTGGCTGTTCACCGCCCTGAGTCCTACATTGGAGAAGGGTGGTATAGAAATTTAAACAAATAAAATAAATAAACAAATAAATAAATGTTAAATGCTGCTTTAGGAGGCATTAGCCTCCTACGCCACTCAGGCTCCTATGCAGTTAATTAACAAAAAGTAGGCTTGTGTTTTCCCCCTCTTAGAGTTTTCAATCCCCTCTATTTTTTCAAAACTATAAATTTATTTTATCTTTGTTATGGCTTGCAAAATTTATTTATTTCCCATGAGAAGCTGTTTGTTATTTATCAGTTCTAAAATCTTATTGTAATAATTTCTGTATTTTAATTTTATCTGCATCCTTAGTCTCTATATAACTTCCCAACATCAAAATCTTATTTAGCTTTTGCCATTTATTTTAAAGTCTTTCAATCTTTAAATTTATGATTAAAATTTCATTTCATTCAGGATTGAAGGCAAACTCACCAGGCATTTTCAAAGCTGTCATTTTGAAGCTCTCTAATAGCTTGCAAGAAGTTAATAAACAATTTCCAGACATGATTAGAAAATGAGGTTAATAAACTCAGTGCCTTTTTAAAGGTGTCAACTACAGTTGCAAGCAAGATGGCAATTCTTGTTATCTCCAAGCATTTACACTTGTGGGAGACCCTTCCCCTGGAGCCTCCTTGCAAGAAGTAGCTGTCTGGAGCACAATGTTCTGACCTAGGTTTCCCCAAAAAGCACAAAGCAGAATCTTGGTCCTGACAAAACCCCTTTTATTAAACAAACAGTGAATTCCTCTCATTCACCTTCAGCAAAGTCTTTCAAGGGAGAATTTACAGTCACAGACCTTATCTGGCTTGGAGAACTGCCAGACCGATATCTTCAAAACTTGGCAAAGAGTCTCGGAGAGTCACAACCAATTAGGTGAACTAATTGTCTCCTGCAAACTCCACGCCCCTTTCGCTCCTCTTTTATTCCCTCTGGGAGGGGCCATTCATCGTCCACCTGTGGCCTTACTCCCAAGTGGACCCTTGTTCTTTAGCTGTTCCCTTCGTCTGGCAACTCTGTGCATGCGCACACTGGGAACAGGCTCTAGCTGTTTGTCTGCCTCACTGATGTCTGACTCTGAAGGCAGATGATAACTGACATCCAGCCCTGGCCCCCTCTCTGCCTCCGACGCAGAACCCTCATCAGAGCCTTCCCCAGACTCCAGGACTGGCCCATGTACCTCCCCAACCTCCTCACTGTCCGAATCTGCTGCCAGCTCTGCTGGCCACTGGCGTGCTACAACACACAAGTGGGCAATCTCCTGCCCTGTCCTTATTGTGAGAGCCAAAGCTTCACAGATGGGTCAGTGGGGGCTAAGCCCAACAGGATATATTTTTCATAATGATTCCTATATCAGTATAACTAGTTTCCTACACTAGTTTTAATTATCCTTGCACATCACTGTCCCCTTTCTCACAATCTAATTGGAGATGCATGCAGTTTAGCATTTGGCATTGAATAATGTTTTCTTACCAACAGTAGGTTGTTTACACTGAAAGGCCTATCATTGCTACCATCATAGCATTTTTAGTTACAATAAAGCAGAGAGCTTCTGATAAAAATAGCATTTAGATTAATAGAATAGCAACAAATATTTTCTACAGACTCCTAGATAATTCATTTTGAATTGAGATACTTTACCTTCAATCTCTGTTAATCCTACCCCTGATTGCTTCATGGCTTCTTGTCCATTCTGGCTCATCTTTCCTCTGTTGAAAAACATAGGTGGGTCTGCTATTAATAAAGGTGATTCTGTAAATGTATAAATATATAAATATACAGAATACCAAAAAAAATGGTATTTTCAGTTGATCACAGAGAAGCAAATAGGATACAAAAAATATGCAAGCCTCTTGATCCCCATTTGAAAAAGGCAGCTGCTTTCAATAGAAGGTAACACTAAGAGCTACCAGATTTGGCCTGATGCGTAACTCCTGGAGAGCAGCAAAGACGTGCCAACAGCTTTAAAGTTTTGCCACTGCACATTGTTAAGCGCATCCGAATACCAGCCAAAGCCAGTGGTACTATGAGGCCGCTTAACTTCCTAGATTAACCCAGTTAGGTCGAGTGCCACTGCCTATGGAAGAAACAACTTGCAGCCCCCACGTGTACTTCAATGAACTCTCAAGAATGTTCCTGCTGTCCTTGAGGGGACTCAGGGCCGGAAATGGGATGGGAGAGCAGCACAGAACGATTCGGCAGAAGGGAAGGCAGCTGCTTCCCAAGGTCTGAAGAGCTATTCTACTATCTTTTCTCAGTGATTAGGAAAACACAGTAAATGATGGGGGGAAAAAAAAAGCCCATACATTCTTGGAATGGAGAAAAGATTGTTGTCCCCCATGGTGGTGGTGGTGGTGGTGGTGGTGGTGGTGGTGGTGGTGGTGCCGCCGCCGTTGCTTCCTTCACTGTCCACACTGTAGCCACTGCCAAAGGTGCTGGTTGATGAGCCAGTGGAAGAGACTGAGCTTTCTCCTGGCCTGTGATTGGTAGACCTTGCTGTATGGAGTAGAAAGAGTTACAGGGATTGGATCCCACTGGTTGTCTGAGCTGATGAAACCATAACTAATCTAAGTAAGAGCTGGCTATTTGCAAGATGGAATGTAAGTATTCCCACAAGATTCTCCTACCTTGTGCTGAATTTTGGCTTTAGGGTTATGCCATACCTTTTCTGGGTGGGCTACTTGGGTGCAATTGGGATGCAATTACAGAATTTGAAGTTAGCGTAACTGAAGACTGAAGGCTATGTTAATTCGGGCTCTGACAGAAGGCTATTCTGGCCAAACAACACATTGCTCCCATAATTTCCTCAGTTATTGGATATTAAACAACATTAATCTATCAGTAAATATGCCATTGTAGAACTAAGTCTTTTTAATTCAAGTAGCTTAAATATTACAATAGTGAACAACAACTGTTAAAAATACAGTAAATGGCCAATTTGATTGAAGTCTATCAGTTAAACCTCAGCTATTATATAGTCAGTATAGTCAGTATTATTTAGTGCAATATATTTCTTCAGCACTAATTAAAACTGCACACAACCATTGGCACTGTTTAATTTCAATTCTCCAAAATGATCTAAGAAAACAATATCCATTTAATAATCCCAAATTCAGGAGGGGGAGCCAAAACACCTATAAAGAACCCTCCTAAAAGTTTACTTTTTTTAATCATCTATTTTCTTAATCTTTTGTTTTAAATATCAGCCCATTTTATTTTACATTTATCCTCCCACTTCTTTTTCCAATGGGACAGACTTATGCTGCCCTATCAGAAGCTTCAACGTATAGGAAGAGTAGAGAAAATCTTCCTGGAAAGAAGAAAAGCGAGATGAGGATCTGACCACAACATGACCAGGGAGAGCTGACCACCCCTGCGGAGAGGGGTGAGAGGCAAGGGGTCATTCAGCTGGGGAAGAGAGGCATGGAAACCACCAATATTCCTTGCAGCCTAATCGAGACACTCTTAAAAACAGCAAGTCATAGAGCAATGAGAGGACAATGAGGATCTAAAAGGAGTTATCACGTCCTGAGGCTTTTCAGCTCCATCCATTCAAGGTTGACTCAGCCTTCCATCCTTCTGAGGTGGGTAAAATGAGGACCCAAATTGTTGGGGGCAAGACGCTGACTCAGTAAACCACTTAGAGAGGGCTGTAAAGCACTGTAAAGTAGTATATAAGTCTAAGTGCTATTGCTATTGTTATCTCCTTTTATTTTCTGAAAGACCCTCAAGATCTGGTTTGAGTCACTTGCAAACATCAGATGTTGAACTGGCTTGCCAAGAATAAAATCATTTCAAACAGATAGCCTCTACCAGAGCAAGATCCAAGTAGCCGGGTTATAGGATTAAATATGGATAGCTGTGGCTGCTTTGGAACCAAGGCTCCAAAATCTTTTAATGGGTGTGGTGGGTGGGGAGAGAAGGAGCAACTGGGGTGCCTGCTGGTGAAGGGGCCCTTAAGAGATGCCAGAATGGGAAAAGGTGGGGTGAGATAAATAAATAAATAAATAAATAAGCATTGAGAAAATGTTTATGCCAGGCCCAAAACCCTTAAATATCTTTAAACCAAACTGAAGTTGTGGTATGAAGATGGTGGCACTGATTTAGCAGACATTCAACTTTAGTACTGGGCTTTCTTGTTAATTTCTATATTCCTGTGAAATAAGATTTTGTGTGTGTGTGAATATTGCTCTCTTTGGGCCAAATTAGAGATATGTATAATCTTTTTGAAATCTTGGCAAGTTTTAGGCTTTAGGTATATTAATTAGAGATTATTCGCTTCCAGCCTTGGAAGCTGCTACACATATCTGATTATTAATGTGTAAGATCTGAACTAGAATCACATGAGAAATTGACACCATGGAATAATCCATGGTTTGAAGATAATAGGGAAGATGCTTTATTAGAAAGCATTGGCTAAAAAGGAATAAAACTGGTTTAGTTATAATGGTTGTTTTAATGATTTTGCTATGATACATTCTGACTAGGATTTGCCCAGAGTTTTTGCTTTGTATTATATTCAGTTTGAATGTGACAAAATTGCACAGTCCAAGTACCTCAGTAGCTGGAAAGAAATTCTTGAATCCAATTATTAAATTTTACATAGAATTTAAAAAAACTGGATGAATATTAATATAATTACATACCGGAAATATGCAATCTTAGAAAATTAATGGCTCTAAATTTTAATAAATGTAAAATATGCTTAAGAATGAAACTAACTCAACAGGAAATACTGTTTCTTTGATCTCAAATAATGTTTGAAAATGCTGAATATTAGATTCCGATGTTTGCCTTTGCATGTCTGAATGGTTTATTGTCCTCAGACACTCCGTCTATGTGTTTGCAGGGCAAAGCAGCTAGCGTATCTAGCACAAAGCCTATCCAGCAGCTCACAGCCAATGTCTTATTGGGTTAGAATGACATTACCGTTCTTAGTGGACACTAAGAGGCTGGTTAAATAAAGGCAGGAAAGAGGAGGACACAAAGCCAATACGAGGAAAATTTGTACCTCCTGTTTATTCAGGTCTTTTGGGTTCCTGGAGTGGCAGAAGGCCCATCCTACTTTTCAAACAGGAACAAGCTAATTCCCAGCTCCTCTTGTCTTTCATGCCATGAGCAAATGAACATACTCCCAGTGAGATTCAGCAGCCACTTTCATTGAGTCTTTCTATTCAACTTCCAGGGAAGAATTTGGCTTTGAAAGGTAAATTTTTCACAGCAGAATATGCAGCATATGTCAAAGTGATAGCATCAACACAACAAAACAACAACATGTTGTAATTCTTGTGTGCCACAATAACTTTAGTTATACAAAAAGATTGGTTTAATCATGCTTAAGGAGTTAAAATGAAACTCCTTAAGCATGCCATTTAGCTGGCAATATCAGCATGAAGCATTTAAGTTTTGGAGGAGGATGAACACTCTTTGTATTAGAAGGCTCAACCCTTTATGAGACTAACACTTCAGCAATGAAGAAATCTTAATCTCTTTTAACCCAGTGGAACATGACAGCTATGAGCGGAGGAATAACTTCACCGTGCAATGAATTAGCAGGCCCGGCCAGAAGGCCTTCGGTTCAGGCCAGGGGTCCCTCGGCCGGGTGTCTTTCTGCTCACCTCCTTCAGGGTTGAAGGGTCCATCGGACATCACTTTCCTGAGGGCTAGTTGGCTTTGCTCTTTGTTGTCACTGGCTGGTGGAGGCAGATTGTCAGACTGAGTTCTTTGAATTGGGAGGACGCCCGCTATGCTGTGTCTGTGCAGCTTCCTGGCATGATTAGACTGACCGCTTTTATGGGCTGCTGTGGCAGTTATGGGTGAAATGGAAACCCACAATATGTACCTCAGATGGAACCAGCTTAAATGTTAGTCATGCAAACAGAAATAGGGAGGTTCTCTTTTCTGCATTTAAATAGGCAAGTTTCTTTGAATTCCAAAGAGACATCACATGAAGAGCAGTAAATGGTAATTAAACTGGCTGTTTCTTTTTAATTAAAATAAAAGGATAAAGAAGACACAGAGGATTTTATTTCCTGCCTTTTGCGTTACGCAACAGTGGCTGGGCACCAATTATCATGGAGACAGCAAACGGTTGCCACAGTTGAATTATACTAATTTGCCACATACTAAATCCTCAACCTGTAATTCCATGAAAGAATGATTTACACGTAGTGAAATACAGAAACACAGCTGTAATTGTTAAGCCTCATTGCTAACTAACAGTTTTTATACCGCCATATAATATAGGGCTAATGATTATGTTGTTAATAAAGCCAGTATCTAATTTTAATTACAGCCAATGAATTTCTGTCCGTGTGGTTGTACAATATTATCGTTGGATGAAGAAAACATTTCAAGGATGTTGTTTCTAAAAAAATAATTTTGTACAAAGGAAAGAACATTTACCAGTATAAAACTGAACCAAATACGTTCTTTCATTTTGGGTTTCAAATTCTGATATTCTACAGTAGGTCTACCCCATTTGTTTTTCAAATTTAGTGTGTTGGATTTTTAAAATAAATTTTCCACAATTCTCAGGTAGGGATAGAGCTGAAAACAAAGTATATAATATTTAAATTAGTTGAGGCATTTAGTGACACCAAGGGAACAAAACACAATAAACCTTTCCCATAAGAAGTGCAGGATTGTGACATACTGAGCAAATGGGAAACATGCTGGAAAAACAACCAGTTTAGTGGCATTGTATATATATATATATATCAGTAGAAAAGGAGGCTATCTTGTATTTCTATGTATTTACAGACAAACAGACAGAATACTGAACAGGTGAAATGCACAATGTGCCAGAGCGGAAAGGAAAGGCCAGCAGCAGGGAAGATGGGCAAGCAGGAAGATGGGAGAAGGGTGGGAGAAGGCCACAGATGAGAATTAAGCTGCCATGCTGAGGAATTTTATTTGTGTCTTTTACTTGGTTGGAGGCGGAGCTGTTGGACAGCGGCTTCAGCAGCAGCGATGGCTGCCCCAGCATCTTCAAGGTGAGTTTGAGTGACACTGGTTTTGCTTTGGCTGCGAGATGGTCCATGAGAGCGCAGGTGTCCCTCGGAGGAAGATTTGGAACTTCCTGGGCTGCTGTGGGACTTCTCAATGGTGGGCATCTGCATATCTGGCCAAGAATTGTGGGGGGAAAAATACAGTATATTAACCTTCACCCACCTCAGAGCCCTAGAGTGATTATGTATGCAATAGAACGTCTTCTACTCCATCACCCCTCAACTGAAAACCACAGGTGGGGTCTTCTCATCTTACCTTGCTGTGTTGTTGAGAATAAGAAACAGAGAATAATGTCCAACCCTAATCTTCCATAGACCCCAAAGAAACAAACTCCTGCCCCCACGTCCACCTGCTACCTGCACATTCTGGACCTTTGCTTGCAAACACCCCAGGGGTTCCTAAGAGGAGGAGATTCAAAGCTACAAGGCCACCTTCTTCCTCAAAGGTATGAAGCTAAGGTGGGGAAATGGATGACTCTTCTACTACTGTAGTTTCCTCTACTTTGCACCTAGCTCCAAAGCAAATCGGCTTAGTTATCTAACAGTCACTGTTATGGGTTCACATAATCTGGAGAGCTTTTAAACTGCAAAGCCTTTATGTGGCAGTGTTCCTGGTAATTTTATCATGTTTTCAACTGATTAAGCTGATTAACATGATTAAGGGGCGTGCATAAATGCACCATCATGCCTACTGTCCCTGTCCTAATATTCCTTTTTTTTTTTTAATTGATTTATATGCCGCCCTTCTCCGGAGACTCAGGGCGGCTTACAATGCGTTAAGCAATAGCCTTCATACTTTTGTATATTTATACAAAGTCAGCTTATTGCCCCCCATAATCTGGGTCCTCATTTTGCCTACCTTAGAAAGGATGGAAGGCTGAGTCAACCTTGAGCCTGGTGAGATTTGAACTTGCAGTAATTGCAGGCAGCAGATGTAAGTGGATGTTAATTAGTCTGCTGAGCCACCAGAGCTTTTTACTTACTCTTTTCATGTATTCAAATTATGTTTATACTTTTACCTGTTATCTTATATATTCTTGACAAATAAACATGATTATGATTCAGTCACTTTAATCACTTTGTCCTGTGGCAATTCTCACCTATAAAATGGGACACTGCTACTATTGCTATTTTGAAGCTGAGAATGACTGATGCAAGGCAATACACGAGTTCCTGCCAGGGATTAATTCAGAAATGAGACCTTCTTGAAACCAAACATAACTCTTCTGGGGCTTAGCTTTACTCCCTGAATACCTCATGGACAGAACAGGCTGGAAACTGTATCGGCAGAAATGGAGGTCGCCTTCTATTAATTCCCCATCGCTTCCAAAGTGAACATGGGATGTGTTTCTTTGCTTCCTTTTTAAAGTCTCCTTTCTCCCATCCTACAGTCCCCAGCGCCTCCCTCTCTTTGGGTGAACGCACTTTAGTGGGCTGCAAGGCAACTCTGCCATCCATTGGCAAAGGAGGGGCCAAATTGCTCATGAGGGGCTCCAATAGGTTCCGAAGAAGCGATGGGCTCAAAACCTGGCAGAAACCTTCCCCCCCTCCTTTTAACTATGAGTGCTCTCTCTGGACTTAAAAATATCTTAAGGCTATTTCTCCATCATGCTTAAGAAGTGAAATAATTTCCTGGGTAGGGCAGAGGATCCACTGTGCTTCATATCTGATTTCACATCAAATGGTCCATAAAGCCAGAGGTTATCAAGAGAACCTACCCTGCTGTCCACAAAGAGGGGTGGTTGGTGGAAGTCTTACCTTTTGATGGGTCAGGAAAAATACCATGACTTCTGCTCTTGATGACTGACGGTTTCGGAGACGGTTGGCTACTCTGCCCTGAGTGGGATCTCCCGTGGTCAATGCTTTCACTCTGCTCCTTCAGAGCGTACCAGTGGGGAGTGTTATCCAGGGGAGAGGCACCGGAGAGTTCAATTAGGACCTAGGCAGTGACAGAAAGAGAGCAAACCTCCAGTTCTGTAAAAGCAAAACTATTCTGAGTGCACTGAATCTCAACACTCACTCCAAGCCCGTTTTATACAACATTCCCCTTCGGATGATTGTTCAGAATTTGTGTGCAAGGTCTTTATTTCAGGAGATTAGAAATTAAATTGTGTTAGAAAAGAAGGCTGTCTGTTATGGGGAGGAAAAGAAAGAAAGAGAGAAGTATTTTCTCTAGAATTTCACCTTCTTTAAAAATGAGATTTTTTAAAATAAAAAAATTACTTTGTAAAACATCTTTCATGTCAGTTTGCTTTTTATTTGGGCTCAGGATAAAACCAATCATACCTGCAACATACAGGAGTGGCAATTTATATATTTTAAAAAGTAAATAAAATATAAATAGTTCATAATTTGTAGTAATGATCAAACATTCTACATTCTAGGTATAAATTAAAGTTATTATTGGGATAGAAAGACACATTGTACCTTTACAGGGAGGATATCTGAGAAGACTGACACCCACCATGAAGAGGTGGCACGGCCACGAACACGAAGCCAAACAACAGCAACACAGCTCACCAGCTCAAATCCCCCTGCTACTCAGACTAACCCGAGCACAACGAAGCCCCCACCTAAACAGAACACACACCCATCCAATCAGAGCACAGCCAAACCCCCAACCAATCAGTACACACCTCCACCCAATCAGAACACAGCCAAGCTCCCACCCAATCAGTTCACACCCCACTGGCAGTTAAAAGGAAGAAACAGCTGCGATCACACACATTGCTCCTAGAAGCACGAAGCCGAAAACACCAGCCTGAAGATGACGAATGAGACTTCGTCGAAACGTTGCCAAGACACCTCCAATTTTACGCGGGAGAAAACCCAAATAACCAAAGATAGATAGATAGATAGATAGATAGATAGATAGATAGATAGATATATGCACACACACACATATATATGTGTAAAATATATACACATACATATATATATATGATTTCTGAGGTTTTCGCGGGTGTTTGTATGTAGGTCTTTGGTTATTTGGGTTTTGTTGTGGCTGTGTTCTGATTGGGTGGAGGTGTGTTCTGATTGGTTGGGGGCTTGGCTGTGCTCTGATTGGATGGGGGGTTGGCTGTGCTCTGATTGGATGGGGGTGTGTTCTGTTTGGGTGGGGACTTGGTTGTGCTCGGGTTAGTCTGAGTTGCAGGGGGATTTGAGCTGGTGAGCTGCGTTACTGTTGTTTGGCTTCGCGTTTGTGGTCGTGCCACATCTTCATGGTGGGTGTCAGTTTGCTTCATGTATGGATTGGAGGGGTTTAAAGTGACTAATAATGCAGCTGTGGGCTGGCTTCTGGTTTGTAGTCGTGCCTCATCGGTGTTGATTTGGATTTGCTTTTTGTGTGGATGTGTGGTGGTGACATCCTGTGTGGTTTTCGTGAGTGTGGGTCTGGTGTCATTCTTAGTATGAGGGACTCATTTGTCAATAAGGGCGGGTTTCCAAATGGCTGGTAGGCGGGAGGTATCATCTCGTTTATTCATGCTGTATGGGCGTTTTTCTATCTCGATGGCTTCTCTGATTATTCTGTTGTTAAAGTGTTCAGTTTTGGCGATAGTTCTGGTCTTTTTAAAGTCAATTTCATGTCCTGTGGCTTTAAGGGGTTGGATCAGGAAAGAAGTTGGTTCCTCTTTTCTGACTGAGTTCTTGTGTTCTTCGATGCGTGCACTTATTCTTCTGTTGGTTTGTCCGATGTATGTGGTGGGGCAGGCGGTGCATGGGATTTCATATACTCCTTGATTTTCTAACTCAATTTTGTCTTTGGGGTTCCTTAGGATGGTGGATATTTTTCGGTTTGTGCAGAATGCTGTCTTGATGTTGTGTTTGTGGAGGATCTTGCTGATTCTGTCTGTGGTGCCTTTTATGCATGGGAGGAGGGCTTTGCCGTTTTCTTGTTTTCTGTCTTGGATTTTAGTGTTTAGGGTTTCTTTTTGGATTAGGTTGGTAATCTTATTTCTTTGGAATCCGTTGGATGCTAGTACGTTGGTGAGAGTGTGTAGTTCGGTATTTAGGTGTTGTTCGTCAGCTAAGCATTTTGTTCATCTCCAGATTTCATTCATTCAGATCTCGGATGTCTTCTGCTTGTGTTCCCTTTATTTTTTTGAGCAGTGTATATCTGTCTCTCTTCCAAATCTAGGAAGCAGTTTTAGACAACTCAATAGGCAATTGAGTTGTCTAAAACTGCTTCGTAGATTTGGAAGAGAGACAGTATTGTGTAGTGGTTAATGGTGCTGAAGTAGAAACTGGGAGACCATAACCTCTTGCCTTAAGCATGAAACCTGGCTGGGTGATTTTGAGTCAGTCGTTCTCTCTCTCAGCACAACTCATCTCACAGGGTTGTCAGGAAAATGGGTGCAGTATCTGTAACCCCCCTCCTCCAAGTTGTATAAAATAAAGGGTCAACACATCAATGATTTCAGCCTTCACCATATTGCAGTTATTGTACTTGTATTTTTATATATTATATTTCATTTAAATTTTTGGAAAAACATGAATGTTTATGTTTTAAATCTATGGCAGATCCTAAGAGCTAGGAGAAGGTTACCCAGGATGTATGAGTGGAAAATGTTGTTATGATACTTGAGCAATGAGAGATGTCTGAACTTGTAAATTGCAAGGAAAACCAGGGGATGAACAAATAAGGGTAAAATGGATAGTGGCAAAACACAAGCTGAATATATTAGAATAAGGGAAATACGCAATCACTATAAGATATATAAGGCAGAACTACTTCAAACACGCAAACAAACCAGGGAGGTGGTTGGCATACAGACTGAGGAAGGAAAGGGAAAAAAAGACAATTCAGAAGCTACAAGATGATGAAGGAAGGATCCATCAGAGCTTAGAGAAAAAAAAGGAGATAATAGTCCAATATTATCAAAAACTTTATGAGAAGGACATAGTAACAACGGAGGAAATTGAACATTATCTAAAAGGAGAGGGAGTTCAAATACTAACAGAGGAAGAAAAAGAACTATTAGATGAGGAGATTACAATAGGGGAATTAAAAGAAGCGCTGAAGAGACAGAAAAATAATAAAACTCCGGGGACCGATGGTCTACCAACGGAGTTTTATAAAACATTTGGAGAATTATTAAACGGAATGCTATTAGAAATATATAACGAAGCGCTGATGGAGGCAAAATTACCAAACACATGGAAAGAAACGTATATCTCCCTAATACCAAAAGAGGGGGCAGATATCACATTAATAAAAAACTATAGGCCGATTTCTTTGTTGAATACCGATTACAAAGTTTTCATGAGTATAATTGCTAATAGGTTGAAAAAAATATTACACAATAAAATACATCAGGACCAAAACAGTTTCTTGCCCACAGGACAGATAAAAAATAATTTAAGGATGGTAATGGATGTTTTGGAATATTACAAGGTGCATCCAGAGAGACAGGTGGCCCTGATCTTTCTGGATGCACAAAAAGCGTTCAATCAAGTAAATTGGCAATTTATGAAACAACAAATTAAAACTATGAATTTTGGAGAGAAATTTACTAAAATGATAACATCAACATATCAGAACCAAAAAGCATGTATTTTGATAAACAGGGATCCAACAAAATTTTTTGGAATAAATAAAGGAGTAAGGCAGGGATGTCCGCTATCACCCCTACTTTTTATTTTAACTTTGGAAAACCTGCTAATTAGAATGAGGGCAAACAAAGAAATACAAGGATTAAAGATTAAGAGAGAGGAGTACAAGGTCCAAGCTTTCGTGGACGACCTGGTCTTCTTCATAGAAGATCCAACAGAAACAACCCTGAAATTACTAAAAGAGATTGAAAAATTTGGAAAAGTAGCAGGCCTAAAAGTTAATAAAGAAAAGACAAATATGATAACAAAAAATATGACAACAAAACAAGTAGAGAAATTAGTAAAAGATTCAGGATTACAGGCAGTTAAAAAAGTGAAATATCTGGGGATAAATCTGACAGCTAGAACTACAACAATAAAACAAGATAATTATGAACCTTTAGTCCAGAAAATAAAAGAGGATTTAGAGAAATGGGGGAAATTAAGACTCTCTTTGTTGGGGAGGATAGCAGCAATAAAATCCTTTATTTTATTTATTCTCCTTTATTTATTCCAAACAATTCCAATAAAACTGGACAAGAAATTCTTTGATAATTTGGATAAAATAACCACAAAATTCGTGTGGGAAGGGAAAAAATCAAGAATAAAACTAAATATATTGCAAAACGATAAAATTAGAGGCGGATTTGGTTTCCCAGCATGGCAAAAATATTATAAGGCTGCAAGTTTATTATGGATCAAGGAATGGATAACCTTGGATAATCAAAGGCTGTTAAACTTGGAAGGACATGACTTGATGAAGGGATGGCATGCCTTTATTTGGAACACCGGGAATAAAATATATAAACACTTCAACAACCAACTATTAGGAAATCTTTAATCAACACATGGCAACAAATCCAACACAAACACTACATGAAAATTCCCGGCTGGCTATCAACAATAGAAGCAATAACCCACCTCAATATATTATCAAAACAAAAAATATTAAGATATAGAGAAATATTAGATAGGCAGGGGAAACTGAAAACTAGGGAAGAACTAAAGGAACAAGGAATAGTAATAGACTGGTGGCCATACTCACAAATAAAGACAAGATATAGGAAGGATCAGGAGGAGGGAGGAATAGATTTAAAACAAAATCGACTGGACAAATTATTAGAATCCAAAGAAGGGAAATTAATTTCGAAAATTTATAAATATTTACTTGAATATGATTTGGCAGAAGAATTGGTTAAAGGGCAGATGATAGCGTGAGCGAGGAACATTGGGCACAGTATACAACTAGAAGAATGGGAAAGAGCGTGGGAAAACAATTATAGCATGACAAAATCGGTAGCTTACAAAGAAAATCACTATAAGATGTGGTATCGATGGTATCTGGCCCCCGCAAGGTTAGCAAAAATGTACCCAAATGTAAATCCGACCTGTTGGAAATGCAAAAAAGCACAGGGAACTTTTTATCACGCTTGGTGGCTCTGCCCAGAAATTAAGAAATATTGGAACAAGATAAAAACATGGATAACAGAAATAACAGATTATGAAATTGAATTAGAACCCGAAATTTTTTTATTAGGCATGATTAAAAAGAACATTAGAAATGATATAAAGTATTTAATACTTCACATAATAACGGCGGCTAGATTAGCGGTAGCACAACTTTGGAAAACAAATCGATTGCCAACCGATCAGGAGCTAATACAAAAGATATACACATGCGCAGAAATGGACAAATTAACTTTAGAGTTACAGGATAAGGAGGACTCAAAATATTTTACAATATGGAATAGATGGTACCAGTGGATAAACTAGAGGAAGGCAAATGGGTAGAGATGAAATTTAGAGGAAATTAACATAATTAAAAACTGCACTGTCAGATAGATAGAAAATGAAATATGTCAGTTATATATATGTATATATAATAATAGAAATTAGTTAGTAGTTCAAGTTGTGTATTGTATATGTAAATTTGTTTCTTGATTAAGAGAAACTTGTATGTTTTAAATGTTTTTTAAGAATGAATAAAGTTTTGTTGTTGTTGTTTTTTTTAAAAAAGATCCTGCTTCATTTCTCAGATGCAACTTCATAACCCATTCCAAAAAATTAAAATGTTTCAGTCATGCTTAGAAGAATCTTCCCTAGGATCAGAAAATAAGAATGACTGGAACTGGGGTTGGGATGACAAGCTTCAGGAAAAGCCAAACTGCAGGATTGATGGGGAGCTGAAAGGCACCCCAAAAAGAAACAGTGGCAAACGATCTCTTTATTTTTGGCATGAAAATGACATGGAGGGAGGTCTTAAACTCAAACTCAATGGAAATCATATTTTGCTTATAACTTTACAGCCTAATGCTAATTCAGTTTTTTTAATAGAAATAAGGGTTAATTGCTATGATGGTTTTGTTAATGTATAGTTAAACCCTAATAGGTGGGTTTAAGCCAAAAACAATGACATCCATGATTTCCTAAATGGATGAATGTCACAAGACATTACTGTGCATCTGTCCCTGTCATGGGGCCTCTATCTAGACAAACATTTCTTGGGATTTAAAAAATGTATCATGTGATTGTATTGTCATTGGAAAGGGAAAATTAGAAAAATTAAGGAAAATAGCAAACTTACTTCACCCAAGAAGTCATTAGAGGAGAATCTATCATAATCCCAGACACTGACTTCCAGAGTTTTCTTCTTCAGCTGCAAAAGATAATAAATTTTAGTTCCCATTGTGCAATTCACACCCAGCCCACAAAATATGCTCCACTGAATAATACCTTCTTGTACCCTCTATGCATTGGCAAGGTGACCACTCAGCAATCATTATCTTCACATTGACCTGGGAGTGGGAGGGAGATCTTTGGAATGAATTCTGAGTGACGGAGTTATTTGGTCAAGCTTTGACCAGGGGCATCCCATAATAGACTATATGAGTGGCTATCTGGAATGGTGTAAGAAGTAGTCTTGTTCTTGAGCGTAATTGCTCTTGAGCATAATTGGCTAAGGACCTTGGACAGATGGCTCTGTCACCTCTTTCTTAGTGTCTTACATTTTTTTTTGAAGGTGAAAGCAAATGTAGTTCATAAGGGTATCATGGCATAACTGACATTTTAATTTAAAGACCTAATTGAAAGGTGTTTGGATCCAATGAATCCATGAAATTGAATATTCAATTTAAATAAAACACTTTTAAATCAATCTGGTGGTTTATTAGCTTTCTATACATTTGTAACCCACTTTTTATCCAATCAAATTGACAGTTAGAATCAACTTCATTGAACTTGACCATTTCTTCAGATCAAATTGATATACTGTATTTTGATTTGAACTAATTTGTTGAATTGATCAGTCAGTCTGGATCTTGAATTACTGGCATGTGCATAATTTGTTTATTTATTTATTTATTTATTTATTTATTTATTTATTTATTTATTTATTTATTTATTTATTTATTATTAAATTTCTATACCGCCCTTCTCCCTGAGGACTCAGGGCGGTGTACAGCCAGAATTAAAAAACATGCAGTACAAATATTAAAAAACAATTAAAAGATATATAAATTTGGCCCAATTAAAACTCACTACCAATTAAAACATTTAAAACATTTAAAAAATTTTTCTTAAGCCAGCCCGGCTTGCTTGAAAAGATGGTTTTAAGGGCACGACGGAAGGCACTGAGGTCTTGGATTCTCCTTATCTCTGGGGGGAGCTGATTCCAGAGGGTAGGTGCCCCCACAGAGAAGGCCCTCCCCCTGGGGGTCACCAGCCTGCACTGTTTGGCTGATGGCACCCCGAGGAGGCCCTCTCTGTGGGAGCGCACGGGTCGATGGGAGGTCGTCGGTAGCAGCAGGTGGTCTCGAAGATAGCTAGGCCCTATGCCATGGAGCGTTTTAAAGGTGATAACCAACACCTTGAAGCGCACCCGGAAGACCACCGGGAGCCAGTGCAGCTCGCGCAGGAGCGGTGTTACATGGGAGCGCCATGCTGCTCCCGTCACTACCCGCGCTGCTGCGTTCTAGACCAGCTGGAGCCTCCGGGTGCTCCTCAAGGGGAGCCCCATGTAGAGAGCGTTGCAGTAGTCAAGGTGAGAGGTGACGAGGGCATGAGTGACTGTGCACAGGGAATCCCGATCAAGAAAGGGCCGCAACTGGCGAATCAGGCGAACCTGACAAAAGGTCCTCCTGGTTACAGCCGTCAGATGTTCCTCCAAAGACAGCTGCATATCCAGGAGGACTCCCAGATTGCGAGCCCTCTCTGTGGGGGCCAACGACTCGCCCCCAATAGTCAGTGATGGAGTCAACTGACTATATCGGGATGCTGGGAGCCACAGCCACTCAGTCTTGGAAGGGTTGAGCTTGAGCCTGTTCCTCCCCATCCAGATCCGCACAGCCTCCAGGCACTGGGACATCACTTCAAGGGCATCGTTGGGGTGGCCTGGGGTGGAGATGTACAGCTGGGTGTCATCAGCGTACTGGTGGTATCTCACCCCAAAGCCACGGATGATCTCACCCAGCGGCTTCACATAAATGTTGAACAGAAGGGGCAAGAGGACCGATCCCTGCCGCACTCCACAAATGAGAGGCCTCGAGGTCGACCTCTGCCCCCCTGCCAACACAAACTGCGACCGGTCGGAGAGAAAGGAGGAGAACCACCGTAACACGGTGATTGATAATATTGATAATTGATAATTGTCCCACTAATATATACTACTATGATCCAGAACAATTCTCTACATTTTCCTGAGCATGGGAAGTTAAAGCATTTGCTTTTCATTTAACTTGGTTTTCCATTTATCTATTTATTTACTGATCTTCCTCATCTATAAAAGCCAGCCAGATTCTACCAAAGGGTAAGCAGAGCAACCAGAAGAAATGCGGAATGTCTGTCACTGACTCTCAGAGGGATGTGTCCAGATTCAAAGGAAGAAGAGATCAGACAATTGTGCCGTGACACACCATTTTCTTCTTTCACAGGCTGCCTTGCAAAGAAGCAAAGAACTCCCCAAATGAATGGGGTGAGATGTGAGATTTTTCCTGATGAACAACTGAAAATGACTTTCTTATCATTTGCTTCTTATCCTGTCTTCTTGGACCACTCTGTCCCCTATTCTGTACCTGTACCTGACAGTTTTCTGAACAATTTAAGATGGTTATTATGTGTTCCTGTAGATAAATATACCTGACATATCTGACTGTTCCAGATACACTCTTGCTAGAAAAAACATGTACCTTTTTTGGCTGCTCATCTCTGAAAATACTCTGGTTGGCCAATATCTTTCAACTCGACACAATGTCCTGTGAGCAGAGTGCGGCCAATGCCAAGAAAAGAGGAACAACAACTTTTCCACCCAGTTTTTTTCCCCTTTCTTTTTTCTCCCCTCCCAATTTTGCTACCCATCCCATTTGTGCCACCTGTGTCAATTTGACCCCTTTTGGCATTCCTGTTAAAAGGAGAATTCGTGCAGCACATTTCTGTGTATGAAAATGATTTGTGCATACACAAATTTTATAGATTTTATAGGAAGTATATGAAACTGATGAATTATTTTTCATAAATAGGATTCTTTATTTGATAGATAATTATAATCAGTAATTATTAATTCAATTAGTTCCATCTCTTTTGGTCTGAGCAATTCCCAGTTTAAAATGTGGCAAACTGAGAAATCAACAAAACTAGTTTTACACAGAATTGGCAATTTTTGGCGGACAAGATAGCAAGCTGGGCGTTGCATTTTGATTTAAATCTCTGGCTATCATTTATCTTCATCCACACTTCCTTTGGGAAAGGTGGCTGCCTCCAGTTCAAGACCATCTTCTTTCAGAGTAAAAAAAGAAAAAAAAAGAGGGGGGGGAATTTTCCCCTCTCAGCTATCTGTCTGAGCACAGTGGAATGGACAAACAACATGTGGTCAGGACATAGGGGAAGTTATTTTGGAAACAGTTTCACTCTTGACATGCTCTTATCTCAGGAACAAAAAACTCCTTTAGCCACAGACCTGTTCGATGAAGATGCTTTTATAAATAACCGTCTGGTTCCATTCAGGATTCAAGCTTTTCTGTATGTATTTTGTCTTTCTCTTGTTCTCAACGCTGAAGTGAAGGAACAGAGCATAACATCACTTTCATGGGTCTCCTATTGTTCCAATTTGTAAACAGTTTTAACACATCTGATGATTAAACTTTCAGGGTCCTATTGTCAAATGACATTAGATGGCATTTAATTTCATTGTACAAGGTGCAATGATAATAAAGTAAACTACAACTACAAGTAGATCTGTTTCAGCGTAAATGATAATCTTCTATTGAGCATTTATTTTAATTACTTTTTATGATTATGCATATTTTGCAGGGCATTATTGCTTTCATGAATATAGCCTCTGAACTGAAATTATTGTATAATTTTAAAGCTAAATCATCCCTTCTCATATAGAAAATAATACAGTAATTTCTAATAAGTTAGCTCAGTTATAAAAAATATTGGTTTCTTTAGGCAGATTAATTTTATCAGAGAAGTGCAGAAGTGATAAATCAGATACAGCAGGTAAGCAAATAGCTAAATCTGAATGTGCTACGTAACTAGTGTCACTATATAGTGTATATATATGGTGTGAGGGACCTTTGCAAGCATGCAGTATAAAACATTTTTTATGCCCAAAGCGCTTGGAGTGTTTTCGCAGGATCCCAAAACAGCTGTCTTAGTCTCTGAGGTTGATGGATCAAGAGGGAGGCTTTGCTTATCAAGTGATTTACTAAGATCTATCCAAATACCTAACAATTGAAAAAAGTGCAATTAAAATTGAGCTCTATTTGGATACTAACTCATATAGCAAGAATCCCATAAACCCGAAGGAAACTGATATAAAATGGAAAACTACAATTTATGCATAAAAATGATTTTTCAGTACAGTATTTGCATTTGCTAGCAAGCAATTCATGTTAGAGAAACAGAACTATTTTTTTTTGTTCCCGATGTTTTCTCAGGGAAGTTCAAGGTCTGCTTTTGCCAGATAGATTGTGCTGATCCTCCGGTTGTGACAGGAACCGTCTTTTCACCCAAGCTTGGCTTTGTGGGCTGAGAGAGAGTATGAGTGGCCCAGGACCATCCAGCCTGTTTACAGGCTTAAGGTGGGACTAGAACTCACCATCACCTGGTTCCTAGTCTGATGCCTTACCGGACATAGGCTCTCAGAATAATTATTAATTGACAGTGCATTGTTATTTCTGCATATATCCAAATAGTTGTGATCTTTCACAATTAATCCAGTAATGGTAGCATAAAATGCTGCTGAGTCAATTTGTGGTCTATTAAAAAATTTTCACCTCTGGCCATCAATAACCAGATCAGCTTTTTTTGGAAGGAAAGGCAGTTTTCTTTCCTGCTTTATAAATCACTGGAATTCTGGGCAGGTGAGTACACACAGTATGGGTATTTTCATGCACAGAGCATCAGTTAAAGAATAAAGAGCTCTACCTTGCATTCTGGACAACCATGACTTGGCTGAAAACCCGATGAAGAAACAAGGCATTGAAAAGCAGTAGAAAGGGATACAGGAAGCAAAAGATTAGGAACATAAAGAGATAAAACATAATGCCAACCATATATCAAAAGCGGTTCAAAATTGAGGAAAGAAGAAATGTTACACAGACTAGGCACATCATAATAGAATTCACACACACACACACACATACACACACACTGAACCCCACCTCCCCCATAACAGCATTAGCAATTTAGGTCTATAAGATCTCAATCATAGATAAATACTATAATATCACAGTGCAGAATTATGATTCATGAATTCATCTTTTCTTTGAAGATTTTATTTCTGGTTTGGAACAAACTGTCATATCTGAGAATGAGAAACTGATAGCTGATCAGAATGTTGAATTGTAGCTTGATTCTGGTTTAACTGGTCTATGGCTAAAACAAATTCCAATGTCCCATTGTCAGAGAGAAAAGGAACTTGCAGTTTTTTCACGCTGGGAGCAGATTTGATTTGAACTTTTCTCTCTCACAGGAAGGACAGGAAAGAACCTACCTCAAAGCATCCTTATGAGGTCTCAGGGTCTAATAACAGCCCACCTCATCAGGTCGAATATATTGTGTCATCTTGCAGAAAATGTACAGATTAGAGAATTCCTGATGTTAATTCTCTTCATTAATTGTAATGCAACCTGTGGCTGACCTTGGGGGACGAGGAAAAGAGGTGCTACTTAGGAAACAATCAGACAAGAGAGGGATTAACAAGACTGACAACCAAACTTCCTGGAAAAATCATTCAATAGGCTTCCCTTGAAGCTAGAAATGCTGATTAAGTGGTCATGAAAGGAGTCTCTAAAAATAGAAAAACAGAGAATTGTTGCATTGGTGAAATTGTCCCTCCACTCACCCTCTTCCAGGTAGAAGATAAACTTTGACAAAAGGGTCAGAATAACCATTGTTGTCACGGGGAGCGAGATTTCTTGCTTGAAGGACATGAATAATCAAATTGCCAAGTTGCTTGTCGTAGTTGATTTGAAGCTAAAGAGAACATTAATTCATGTTAGTTATTTTTGAACTGCTTCTGAAAATAAAGTTGTTTTAAAATTATGTGTTTACAACTTTTTTCCCCATTATGCCCTGATAGCTAGCATAACTGATGAAAATTCTAAGCTTCCTTTAAAGTATCTCAGAAGAAATTCACTTCAAGCAAATGAGCTCTAAAAAGAAAGAAAAATGGAAATAAGTATATAAGCATACTTGCAAAAATGGACTCTTTATGTGGACTTTCTTATTGCCATCTTTGGGGATTATTTTAGTTTCCAAATTTGGCCTACACCGTGGTTATCTCTTTGTGGTCTCTCAACCAAGTAGTAGGTCCCCAACCCTCCCGTCCGTGAACCAGTACTAGTCCGTGGCCTGTTGAGAACTGGGCTGTGCAAGCAAAGGGCGAGTGTGCAAAGCTCCAATGATGTGCATGAAACCATCTCCTCCTCCCCCTGCAGCCACTACTGGTCCGTGGAGCCAGAAAAGTTGGGAACCCTTGGCAGAGCGTATTTCAGTTAATTCTGGGGATGAGGAGAGGTTGACTGAGTGCTGCCGCCTGCTGGGCACAAAAGGTGAAATCTCTCTCAAGTTGGGCTCATCTCCAGAAGATGGAGGTGCCAACGCAAGTGATTCCAAAGATTTATTTTTAGTTTCCAGCCTGACTGTCCATCTGAATAGTAACCAGCTTTACCAATACAGAGAGGTGGCAACAGCAATTATAGGCAGTGGATCACGAAATGCTTTGCACAATTAAAAAGTCAGCCCTTATAGAGTGTTCCAGTTTGCTGTCCACTGTCCTTGCTATTCCAGAAGTTTGGCCTGACTCTACTGAGAAAATGGAGTCAGCAAAGCTCCTGTGGTGCAAACAGCCCATTCTTTTATTTCTGGGTCCATTCTAAGAGTTTGAATCCAGAAACCTACTCTTTAGAATGATAAAGGACCTACAGGCTGGGTGGCATTCAGTGAGGATTTTTTAAACTTTGCTCTTTATCACATGCACTATTAATTTATATTCACTTATAAACTGTATGAATATATGCTGAGATTTATTATACCCTTATGGAACAGAGTTGGGGCAGGAACAACAGTCCCCTGGGAAGGAATGAAACAGAACTAAGTACATATTTCTTTTGATCCCAATTATGAAAAATACCAGATTGGTTCCTATTACAGGCACAGGAATAGAATCTGGTCAACAGTGAAGCAGCCTTCTGCAATATCATCATCATCATCATCATCATCATCATCATCATCATCACCACCACCATCATCCTCAGTCTAACCACATCCTATTTCTCTGGCTCAGGCAACACCCCCCCCTCCATTTGCAGTGTGGCTTAAAAAGGTGCAACAAAAAGCATGTTTACTGAATAACCCAATTAATGTATCAAACATCCAAATTGTTCTATCACTGCATTGTTACCTTATCCCAAAGTACAAACCACAAAGATTAATTTCATACTTTTTGACAACAAAGGTAAATGGTAAACAACTTAATATGAGGTTGTTACCTGGATTTCTCCGGTTATGGGATGGGGACCCCCCTTTGAGACTTCAGCAGGCTGTCATTTAAAAACAAATAAACCAGCACTAGTTGTTATTTGTCTCTCTTTACAACTGTATTAGAATTATCACAGCATTCTTAAATTTATACAGTTAAGATTAATGAACCATTCACTTGATGGCTTAAAAATTCAAAGCTGAAATGAAACTTTGTAAAAAGATGATATTTCCTGCAGTAATTGATTTTAATACCTTGTCTCAAAGGTGACTTATTTATTAATAATTCTAGATTGATATATGCCATAATTTATTTTATAAAAAGAACCTAAAAACTTCTGAATCTCTGTTATCAGAGTACGATATTAAATTAGTGTTTCTGCCTATACAAATACATCCAAAGCTTGGGCCTGGGTAAGTAGAGTGTCTTACACTTTACTTATTTATTCAATGTACCAGTATACATCCTGTCCTGTTTTCCCAGTGTTCAAAGTGGTTCACATGGGACTCCCCCTTCATTTTATCCCTCCGCCCCCCTCAAGGGTCACCTGCTGTCCGTTTGTGTGTGGACAATGCCTGTGAGCACAGTGAGAGGACATCTCCAAAGTGATCACTTAGGAATGAGTCCTCCTAATGCTTCTTCTTCCCCACTTGGTTGATCATGCAGAAACAAAAGAGCCTCTCACCCCACCATCTCTTCCTCCCCAGGGCGAAGCGCCTTCTTACCTTGCTGCTGTGCCGTTTCTTGCTCACCGAAGGGGACCCAGGCTGCCCAGGGCTGGGGACAGAGCTGGAGGTGGCCGATGCTGTCCCCGAGTGCCCGTGGGACCCCTTCTCCATGGCTGAAGAGGCCATCAGGGGAGCCTGCTGCAGAGAAACCTTTTGCAGCTCTGCAGCCAGTTGCTTAGGATCAACTCCTGGGGATTTCATTTTATCCACTGCAAGCACAAGAATTCATAGTCAGTTTTGCACACAACAACACTATCCTGTCTACCTAAAGTTTGCTCAGTTTTTATACAACAGTAGGAGGAAACAAACTGGAAAATATCCAGAAAAAAATCCAGAATATTAAATCAAATAAATATTGGAATTTCACACTTTGGGTTCCAGATAAACTATCTCTGGGAAGACAGACTAGGAACCAAGCTGGGACGCCTGGATCAATCCATCTGAGGAGAAAAGATGGAACTTTCCTGCACCAAATTACTCCCACTTGAAACATTTTGTAGTTCTCTAAGGAAAGGAAAAACTCTTGGGATCTTCCGCCTTTTCCTCCGCACTTGCCACAAACTCAAAAGCTACAGGTTGTATAAGGGCAGCCAAATCCTTCCCACCTCAGTTTGTCTCTCATGTTAGATGCTGTCATTTACCCGTCTTTCCTGGCTCAAGTAATTCCAGATGTTGGGAATTCTCGCCATCTGGCAGCATGCTGACATTCCTGAAAGGAGGAACAACAAGCCTAAGACAAAAAGAACCCTGTCCGGATCCCCAATGATCATAATTGGATAGATCAATGAGATGAAGCAGCTGCAGAACGTGGCTACCTTAAGTAGCTCTGGGATGCTCTGCAATCTGAGAATGACCCTGAGGATAAATTTATGAATGGAAGAAATGTAGTTTACACCAAAATACATACACTTTACACAATATCCAGATGAGTAATCACCTGTGCATATGTTAAACTCCCCCCCCCAGTATTATGAATCACAGAGTGCTTTACAATCACCTATCTTTGAACCATATTCTTGTACTTGTAGATCTAGTAGATTTCCACCAGTTTGTTGAAGAACTTATGAGTTCGCTGAAATCTGAATCCAGAACTCTTTTATCTAAGTGTAATGCAAGATAATAGCATTTTTGCAATAAAGAATATGCTACAAACCCATTTAGTTTAAACGTTGCCAAAGAATTTTTTTTCAGAAATGGTGGTTGATTATTTTGTAATTCAGAATGAGTCAATATGTTCTCTGATATTAATATTGTTTTGACACTTCTATCTCAAGTGGGATGCAGAGTTTCTAGCCCAGGTTCATTAATTCCATTCCTTTTTATATCAGTTTACTATAAGGAATAAGGAAATATTTCTATAATACTTAAAATTACATTCATTTTCTTTTCATATCAAATATTATACATTGCAGTTTGCAACTTAACAACTGTGAATCAAGAAACCATGAGAAGCCAAAACATAATGGAAACAGGAAGATGAAGAAAAACTCACAGTCTTACACATATTTCAGCTTCCCCACTCTGCAGGCCGATAATGCTCTGGACCTCTTCATAGCTCTTGCCCGTCAGAGGAAAGCCATTCCACTCCAGCACCTGCATGCCTAGGATAGTGGGCACAAGGCAAGTTTGGGGATCAGCACCACAGATTCTACCCGAAGCAAAGTCCCTCAGCTATGTGTAGCATAAATGCAACTGGCATCTGATTTGATAGGATCAAAACCTTTTCACTGCACACAAATCATGCTAATTTTACATTTTACTTACCTTGTTATTTTGTTTCCAAACTTCATGGAAAATTTCTGCCTCACAAATAAACTGAATAAAGAGGGAAAGGGGAAAAGCAAATTGAGAGAGGAAGAGCTAGCACGATGTGGCATCAGGAGTCATTGGGACCAATATGGGCTTTTCTGTGGTGGGAAAAATCTAAATGGAGGCAGAGGCTGAAACCAGAATGTGGGTGTAAGTTTCATGATATTAAAAACCAGCACAGCCAAATGAATATTTCCCACTTATTTTTTCTTTCTTGCCAATTATTTCCTACATACACTGATCTCTTTTCATCAGGACCAGCTGTCTAAACAGGGTAGACTTCTATTCCACACTGAGTAGACCAAACTTTTCTTGAATTCTGTCAGGACTAGAATTCCTGTTCTGGCTGAATGTGAAGGGAAGCCACACCACACATGCCTGTCTCTTCCAACCTAAACTCTTCCCAGTTTTATCACTCAAAACCAGAAGCATACATGGTAAGACTGACCCTAGTTTTTATATGGGCAGTATTCAAACATGCACAACCCACACATAAAACAAAATGCAAAGCCCTGTTACACTGTAACAGTGTTACAGGTAGTAGAATAAAAGATTTTACAATACCTTAGTACAGGAATTGGAAGTATATGAGATGGAAAAGGATGTTCTAGTAAGGTAAAGGAGTTTGTAGACAGAGGAAGTAATTGGGTTGAAAAAACCTACCATGCTATAATACGAATTCCATAATATCTATTTAATGTGGCATCCTAAACTGGCCTCACTAATCAGTCAAATATGCAAAATGATGAGCCCAAACCTGTTGGCCTTTTGTAAGATCTTGGAAACTTGATTTTGTGCCCAGCCTGGAGAATAAGACTGGTGAAGATTGCAAGATGTCTACAGTTTCTCAAAAGTCTTGCTGTTTCTTAATTTTCCTCATAATTGAACAAAGGACAAGGAAATCAACCCTCCTAACCAAGTTGATCCTAACCAAGAAGAAAAATTGACTGAAGAAATAAAAGCATGGAGAACAATTGGCCACGTGATCTTAGGGTTCCAGATGCTACAGAATAAGAAACTGAAGCATAGACAGACAGACAGACAGACAGACAGACAGACAGACACACACACACACACACACACACACACACACACACACACACACACACACACACACAGGAGAGATGATTTCAACAACTTTAGAGATGTACTTGGTGAGACTTCATGGAAATCTCGAGGTCCAATTCATGGTTCCATAAAGATAGATCTAGCTGTCATGGATTTGATTCTTATCTTTTAGATCAGATGTTCCCAGCTGTGGTCTAGGAAACACTAGGGTTTAGTAACAGTGCTGCAGGCTGCCTCTGATATGCATACCAAAATGTTTGTTTTCAAGTGGCCAAATTCTTGCAAGAGTCTGACGTTCTAGTATAAGTATCCGAATATACATTAGGCAAGATTTGGTGATCTCAAGAGATTGCAGCAATAGACACCTCTGGTGGCTGAACTTCTGCCATGCTGCTTTTACTACCATGTGGCTGACCTATGGCTGATATGCTGTTTCTCAGCAATGTTCTTCATGGAGCTACGGCTGGTGCAGGAGGCAATCATATGGACAGTTTTATGGGCCCCTATGAGGGTCCATGTGAAACCATTTCTATGTGAACTTCATTGGTTGCCCATTGGCTTCCAGGTCCAATTCAAGGTGTTCGTTATGATTTTAATTTTCCTAGGCAAGTTTGATAAATAATATAGTGGGGTCTTCCAGTTTTCTCTGCTGTGCTTTAGTAACCTTTTCTAAAGCATGTCCGGGTCACAAATGATTAGTTTAAGATATCTAATATATGACAGGTGGACATTTTTAAAATTTTCAGAAGAGGTTCTCAGAAATAGATTGTCAGGGACATTATCTCCATTTACAAAATGAACGTCACGGTGGACACATCTAGTTATTAAGAATTTATTTACCAATTTACCATTTTTAATTATTTAAGAAAATTATGGGCCCTACCTGAATATATTACTGTGCAGAATGTTTCACATTTTATTGACTGATTGATTGATTGATTGGATTTGTATGCCACCCTTCTCCCGAAGGACTCAGGGAGGCTCACAACAATAAGAAACAGAGAATACAAAAGTTAAAAGACAAATTAAAACAGAATATCCAATAAATAAGGTTAAACGTGGGAATACCAATTCAAATTTAAGATTTAAGAATTTAAAAAGCTACAAAATCAGTTTAAAGTCAACCCAGGCCCGCCCGTTGGAAGAGCCAGGTCTTCAAGGCCCGGCGGAAGGTTCGGAGGTCGGGGATTATCCGGAGCTCCAGGGGTAACGTATTCTAGAGGGTAGGGGCTCCCACAGAGAAGGCTCTCCCCCTAGGGGGTCACCAGTCGACATTGTCTAGCCGAAGATACCCTGAGGAGGCCAACTCTGTGGGCACAAACTGGGCGATGGAAGGCTACTGGTGGCAGGAGGTGGTCTCGCAAGTACTCTGGTCCTAGGCCATGTAGGGCTTTAAATGTGATCACCAGCACCTTGAATTGCACTCGGAAGACAACCGGGAGCCAATGCAGACCGCGAAGGAGTGATGTAACATGGGAGTACCGAGGCACCCCCATGACAACCCACGCAGCCGCATTCTGCACCAGTTGAAGTCTCTGAGTGCTCCTCATTTTAAGCCCATGAAATGGCCAAAGCAACCCATTTCAAAATAGAAACTGTTAACTGAGAAAAGAATGCTCCAAATTCTAAATATTTTTGCACATTTCTAAGTCCAAGGAATTCATGGAACAATATATAAATATATATTTAAAATGTTAGACGACAGATGAGGCAATTGGCCTCGAAAGATATCTACAAGCATACAGATATCTGAGACCCCATGAAAATTGTACTGCTGGCTTAGAAATGATGAGACCCGATTTCCAGTCCTTCCTTAGGCATAAAAACCAGATGGGTGACTTTGGGCCAGTCACTCTGTCTTTCAGCCCAACCCACCTCAAAGGGTGGTAATTGTAGGGAAATACGAAGCAGGAGTATTAGGTATACTTGCACAAAATGTATATTTCAAAAGACACGATTATAACAATAACACCACCACCACCACCACCACCATCACCATCAAACATCCACATCAGGGGTGAAATTCAACCAGATTGGGCGAACCGGTAAGGATGATTTGAATTGGTTCGCCAAACTGGTAAAAATCACCCCTGGTTGGCCACACTCACGCCCGCCTGCCCGCTCCCCGCTCCCCCCTCCTGGCTGCTTGTTCGCTCCTCCCAGCCGCTCGCTCGCCCCTTCCATCTGCTCGTTCACCCCTTCCCTCCACTTGCCCCACCTGCCCATCCCGCCCTACCATGTTTCCCCAAAAATAAGACCTTGTCTTATATTTTTTAGAACCCCGAAATAAGGGCTTGGCCTTATTATCGGGGGGTCTTATTATTTTGGGGGTGCATGAGGTGGCCACCTCATGGCTGCTGCTGTGTTGCACTGCTGTGGCAGCGCAACACAGCCGCTCATCAACTGTTCGCTGGGCCAACCAAAGGTGGGAATCTCCCTGGCATTCTTGGCACTCATCCACCTCCCATCCATCCATCCATCCATCCATCCCCCTTGCCTGCAAACTCCCGTCCTGCTCCCGCCTCTCCGCTGGGTGACCCTGGCAGCCCCAGATGCCCAAAGTTTGTGCTCGCCCAGCTCCCTTTTCCACAGCACCCGGCTCTTTATCCAGGGAAGTGGCATGTGGGGCGAGGGAGAAGCAAGAGGCGGGAACGGGTGGGAGTTTGCAAGCAACCGCTTCCCCTTTCCCTTTTCTCCCAAAAGCGCTCCTCGGGCACAGCCACTTTTGCAGCAAAAGACTTGCGCCTCGTGCCGGCCTTCCGAAGGGTACTGTAGCAGCAACTATCCACATTTTTTAAACCCTTATTTTGTCCTGACTGTATTGGGCCACATGGGTGCAGAAGTGGTTGCAATCGATGGCAAAAGTGGCTGCGCTTGCTGGAGGTGCCGACCAGAGCAGCACCCATGAGACAGCTGTTCCATGGACGGAATTGCCTGCTGTGACTGTCACCATTAGGTAAGGAGTGTGCGAGGCATGTGGGGTGCGTTTCTTGGCCTCCGGCTTCTTTTGCAGCTGCAACTGGCTGCAAAAGCAGCTGCGCTTGCTGGAGACGGCAGCCTGAGCGGCACCCGTGAATTAGCTGTTTTGTGAATGGTGGCCTGAGCAGCTCAGTTGATCTGATTAAGGGGCCGAGAAGCCCAGAGGTGACCGGGGAAGGGAAGGGCTGCCTCCTGTACTGGCCACATCCACCCCTTCACTAGGGCTTATTTTGGGGGGAGGGCGTATATTTACGCCCGCCCCAAAAATCAGGCTTGGCCTTATTTTCGGGACATGTCGTATTTTTGGGAAAACACAGTATATATGTTGCCTTCGCCATGCGGCCCAGCTAATCGCCTCACCAGTCACCTCACCCACTCAGCTCACCAAAGGTAAGCAATGCATGCCACTTGTTCGCCCCTCGCCTTGGGTTGGGGGCTGGGGCCCAGAGACAGGCCATTCTCCGAGGCCCCGGAGCTGCTGCTTTCTTGCTGCCCGCCTCGACTGAGTCGGGGAATGCACCATTCCCCAGCTCCGGCCTTGCCCCGGAGCCGCTGCCCACTTGCCACCCACTGCCCACTCTCCCTTCGCCACATGACATGTCCTTACCTTCCTCCTGTGGCTGGCTGTCCGGGAAGGCAAGCCAGGGCTGAGCCATTGCTCCTGGGCTCCCTGCCAGCCTGCATCTTGCCCCCCTTGTCATGAGATGCCTGCAGCTGCAGCCTCTTTTTTTCGGTGTGCCTGGAGGTGTTTCTTGCACCAAAAGAGGCAGCGGCTGCAGGCTTCTTGCAGCAAAAATTACCAGAGCCGCTGTGCTTCTTTAACATGCTGCCACCATCGCCGCCCTGTTCCATGTGCCAGCTGCGCATGCGCACACTGTTTATTTATTCATTCGTCATATAGCAGCAGCAGCAGCAGCAGCAGCAGGCAACAGTGTGCTCGTAAGTGGCTGGCATATGGAACAGGGCAGCGATGGCTGTGGCGCGTTTAAGAAGCGGAGTGGCTCTGGTAATTTTTGCTGCAAGAAGCCTGCAGCTGCTGCATCTTTCGGCACAAGAAGCGCCTCCAGGCCCACCGAAAAAAAGAGGCTGCAGCTGCAGGAATCTCGCAACAAGGGAAAATAGGTAGAATAGAAATTATTTTTTTTTCCTACCGGGTTCTGTGGGAATGGCTTGGTGGTGGGTGGTCATGTGACTGAGTGGGTGTGGTGAGTTGGCCATGCCCACTCAGTCACAGGACCCCACCACCACCAAGCCACGCCCACAGAACCAGTAGGGAAAAAATTTGAATTTCACCACAGAGCTACATCTGCCTATTCCAGGTGTTTGGAAAGGACTTGATAGTTTGTCAAAAATGGCAGATCCAGTCTAAACATCTTGTTGACTGTGTAATGAACCAATAGTAATAGTACAAAATTTGGGTCCTTGGGAAGGATTAGATCAGTGGTTCTCAACCTGTGGGTCGGGACCCCTTTGGGGGTCGAACGACCCATTCACAGGGGTCGCCTAAGACCATCCGAAAACACATATTTTCAATGGTCAATGGAATAATTTTATGGTTGGGGGTCACCACAACATGAGGAACTGTATTAAAGGGTCGCGGCATTAGGAAGGTTGAGACCCACTGGATTAGATAGTTGGATGAAAATGCCAAATCCAGTCTGAACTCCTGGATGATTGTATACACAACCATAATATAACAATAATAGCTAATTTTCCCAACAGTTCCAGAGACTCCAAAAGTCTATAAAAGAGGTTGGCTCCCTTGAAAAAAACATGACTTACCATCATTTTCTTATCTTTATTTGGGAAACTTCTCCATCTGACTCTGTTTTTGCTGCTTGACCTATTTCTTTCCACTTATTCATCAGGTCTTCCTAGATTTTCCCTTGAGGATAATCCTCTTTCCACATGCATACTGATCAGCACCAATGAAGACAAAGAACTGATCACTGTACCTTCCATAAGTTTCCCTGTTTGCTCAGCATTTCCACCTGGTAGGATCCTTGCAATGTAAGCACCAATTTCTCCATTGGTTCCAGGAATTTCTTTTCCACCTACAACTCGAATCCCAAGTCCATTGCCTGCATTTAAAAAAGAAAGCACAAGGTAATTTTTAAAATATAGGAATAAAAACAGTAATGTAATTAATAAGAAAGCTATAGGTTTGTTTGTTTTTTGCTATAGCTGTTCAATTCTATATTTTTTCATTCAGAAATATTACTTTTGTTCCCAGCCAGATAATATAACTTGAGTTCCAGGAAAATTGACAGGAAAGACAGATCAAATTTGTTTTTATCATGTGATTAAATCAATCAATCAAAAGACTTGATTTTATGAAGGGAACTGAACAAGATAACAATGGAATAAACTCTGTGTATGTATGTTTGCATATCATGAAAAATACCCTGTAAACTCAAAAGAAATGAAGAGGCAACTCTGTTAGAATAGGAGAAAGCTGGTGAGACAGGAAGAATGAAAAACATTTCTCTCTGCAAATCTCAGAAAAGCAATAATGTATATAGCAAGTTAGGGAAATAAGTTAGTTTCCATTTAATGCTAAAGCCACAGTGGTGATAGGCAGACGGGATGATTGTTTCTTCACAGGAATGCAAATTTAGCATTATATATTTGTGGCCTGAGATCAAAGCAATACATGAAAAGGCAGTCCAATAATCATTCTGCCAGGAAATCTCACGTGGGCATCAACACAGCCTTTCTTTTCACAAGAAAGAAAGAAAATGTGCCAGAATGACTCAGGCTGATCACACCTGCTCCAGCGCTGGCTGCCAGTGGAGGCAGCCGGGACAAAGAGCTCCAGTCCCAAAGACAATAATTCTGACATTCTGTTCCTCAACGCCTTGGACTCCAGAAAACGTCCAGGGCAAGCATTTTCTGTTCCTGGGGAACAAGAGGCTCATTTTAGAAAGAACAAGCAAAGTGGCTGTTTACTGTTTCCATTTGGGAGTGGGGGGGGGCAGCATTTTCCAGAGTGCTTTGCCATTATTTTCTTCCTACAGGGGTGTGAGAGAGAGGCACCCTAGCAAGGCCATTGAGTGGTCCAGTGAATGGCTGAATAATATGTTAATGTGCAGAGATATATTTATGGGGAAATTCTTTGGTATAAAGGCTACCAATACCTGGAATTTGACTATGCTTGAAGAATTATGGTCGTGCTAGACTTGGGATCTTGCTAAGAGATACGTTTTAAGAAATGAGAAAAGTATTCCTGATATCAATGATTAGAGTCAAGAAATCTGTGACTTTTCTTTTGAGAAAATAAAATAAAATCCTACTAATAAAAAGGACTCTGAACATTTTTCTGTGGAATAGATATTATGATACCTTTTTTTCAATGGCAGAAATTCTAAATTACAATGGGAATCTTGTTCTGAACCATCTGTCTCTGTCTTAGATTTACATTGGCCAGAGCAGAAGTGGGCAATGGATGGGGGTGGGACGGGGTGGGGGGCTCTCTGGGAAGTGGAATCCAACCACATCCAGAGTCAGTTTCATGTGAGATGGGTGGCCATACAAATACGATCAATAAATAAATAAAGAAATATCATCTGAAGGGTTTTAGTTCCCCTTCAGCTTGCCTAAATCCAGAGATCCAAGGAAAAAAATCTGCTTAAAGATTTAAGAAAAAGAAAACCTTTTATAACTGGGGGTAACTACCAAAACATAAATCAAAACAGAATAAAACTACAACAAACACTAGTTTATATATTGTCTTATATTCACATAACCCCAAATATGGGCATAATCCTCATTCCTTAAGTACTGCTGCTTTGCTGCTTTCTAAAAATATAATTCATGGAAAAAGTTTTTCCCTTTGAAGCAGAACAAACAAAAACAACAGAGCAAAAAGAAAAGAAAAGAAAAGAAAAAGAAAAAGAAAAAGAAAAAACCAGAACAAAACACAGAAACCTGACACAACTCTGATATGCATGTTGTACATCTCTCCTAGGTCTTTAACCGCTACACCAAACTGGCTCTCTTCTCCAGCATTTCAGAGCATAAACTTTCAATCCAAATGAGGAAACAAATATGGAATGTCACATACCGTTCTTCATTAAGAAGCATGGGGTAGAAACCATTAAATAAATAAACCAATCTATAATCAGAAACTTTTAATGGACTGGTTTTTCAGTAGACCCTGTCTTCATTTAGTGACAGCAATCTATACCTTAAATCAGAAGTTAGAGAGAAAGACAAATCACTGGTTCTGCTGTCTTATTTAGACATTTTAACTAACGCTGTTCTGTCATACAGAGTCCTGTGCCTAATCCACTTTTACCATTCCCCTCCCCATTGCAGAATTTCAACCCTTCTCAGAAATGAATAATTCCTCCGTATGCAACTCAGTCACCCTGGCAACACATGTCCAGGCTCTCATAGAATCCAAGCTGGATAGACTTGTTTATTTTACCTGAAACAGAGTGATCCTTTGGGTCGCTCAAGAGTTTCAGCCTTGCATGTGGGAAGGTGTACTGGATGGGCTTCCCAATAATCTAGAAAATACAAAATGCAAATGCGGATTAAAGATAAGACATATCCCTTAGGTAAATAGTTATTTTGAATTAAAGCATTAGTCTTGCAAACACTATGTTTGGAAATACACCCTGCCTCATTTTAACACAATGCAAGTACAACTATTTGTATTTGCAATTGCACCCACCACGGGAGCTAGTCCACTGCAATTGTGCGCAGTTGATCCCAAGGGTTAGGGTTAGGGTTACAGTCTCCGTTTCATGGTTTGAGCATCAGAAGCCAGTGAGTGCGGCTGATGGCTTTGGCTCTTTCATTCTAGCCTTTCAGAGAAAAATGGAATAAACCAGAGCACGCTGGAAGGCAAGGGCTGAACCTTCTAAGCTGCCTCTCTAGAGATGGGCATAAGTTCAGGTAAACACCCAAAAGCCGTTTACAACTTGGTACCAAAGTTTCGATGGTTGTCCCACCTGTAGTCACATGACTGCATTTTGGGAGCTTGGGCCACAACACCCGCCCTTTGCCTTTATGGCCCTTTGCATCGTCCTGTAGCCATGTGACCACAATTTATGGACTGTTTGCTGTAAATCGACATTTACTTCTGGTTTCTGGCAAAAAACATCCCTACTGAACAATGGCTTTGCTTAATCACTGTGTTGTTCACTTAATGACCACCACAAAAATGGTCATACGATCATGTCAGTCATAGGATGGCCCACAAGGTGACTAACACAATTTACAACTGTAATTGCCAGGCTCAATAACAGTCATAAGCTGAGGTTGTAAATTGTAATATAAAACTGTCTGTATCTTCATGACTATTTGTAAGTATGAGGGTTACTTTCTTTTTAGTAGCCCTGGTTCTCTGGTTAGAATAATATTTAACCACAGATTAAAACAAATGTTTGTATCTAAATATCTAAATGGCTTTAATAAAAAAGTACAAAATCTGAATAATGATTAACTCTTCATATGCTTTTTCTACTGTAGCTTAAAAGTTCAGAGAATATTTTGGAACTGAAGAAGGGCCAAATACTTTCTAATTATAAATTCCTTTGTTCATGAAATATCCTCCCATGAGGTTCTTCAATCATCTCACATTGGTGTGAAAAGTTTAACTATCATAAATATTCCTTACACTTGCTGTACATGTTCAGAAAAAAAGCCAAAGGGGTATATCCATGTCTGGGCCTTCTCTGTTTGGGTTGGTTCAATACTTTCGCGTGAAGGTTGCCACATCCATAGTTGGGCACTTTTGAATTAACCAGGCAAACACACTTGTTAGGACTGTCATGATCATTGTAAATCTTTGTAATAAATATGCCTATAAACCCAGCCTTCATGGGTATCCGGAGATCAATACTGTATTTTGATTGCCTGCAGCAAACGATGAAAATGGTGATTGGCAGGGTGAAGATAACTGACCCAATATATTTCTTGTGAATAGAAACTGAAGGTAATAAGCAAAATACATGGAAAAATGGATAGTGTTTTCTGTTTGAAAGCCTTTTTTGTTACAATACTTTAATCTGGGAAAACGCTATATAAATTTCATATGGGTGCAGAATAATAAATACATTCTCCTACAACTACAGTCAGAGACTGGCTCACATTTAAGATATAGGGAAATACTGAAAGATTGTTCCATGACTTTACATTAAGGTACCCATTTTTTTATACTCTTTAACCCACAAAACAAAAATGAAAAATCTGTAAAGTTTCCTTTCCTGTTTGTTATTCTATCATCTTTAAACAGAGAAGGAAGTAGCACAGTGTATTTTCCTAAAAAACCCCAAAACCATTCAATTTCATAATAGCCCACAGATAGACAAGGAAAAGAGCTGTGGCCTATTTTTTCCCCCAATGGCGACTTTCCAATCGCCAGCAAAGTTATGAAAATAAAATAAAAGCAATAATTATATTTTAAAAAATTAAAAATAAATTGGCCCCATCTACTTTGGGTTATTTCTCTTCTTGCACCAAGCCTGGCACAACTCCTATGCCGAGAGACATTATGCACCCTCAAACCAAGATGTTCTGCCTCTCAAGCAAAGGAAAGGAAGAACAAGCTTACGCGGGCTCTTGCAACCTTAGCTGGGAAACTTATGACTCCCGAGGAAGTGGAGAGGCTTTTTTTCAGCACTTGTGGATGTTTTCCCACCTCTCCTGAATAGTTAAAGTTGTCACCTCTTTATAGGAGAGGGCAACGCTGGCACCCCTGAAAGAAGCACTTCTCTATTCCCTTCTCAAAAGGGCTGCCTTGGTCTTCTTATACTCAACTACTATTATTCTACCTCTAAGCTCCTCAAAATCCTTGTGGAGAAAGAGCTACAGAGAGCCACAGAAGAAGCAGATGATCTGAACTCGTGGCCATCAGGACATAGACATGGGCTCTGGACCCAAATCTTGGTCCTTCTGTGGCTCTGTGGATGAGGCGTGATGGGACTTGGCTGGCCTGTCTTGCCAGAGAGTGGCTTTTGGCCCGGCTGGCCACTGGATTATCTGCGGCTACCAGACCTGGGGATGCTAAGCACTGGGTCACAGCAGGGCTTCCCACTGGTTGCTTTGGCCTTGTGTTGGAGGTGCCCTGTAGCCTGATCTTTGCTCCTATGCTGGTTAATGCCCAATCTGAGGCTTTCATTGATCCAGGAGAAGGCATTACCCCAGCATAGCACCTATCCAGATCCAGCCTGGGTTGAATGGGGGGGAGGTGGAAGCCCTTGTCCAGCACCTGGAAGCAGTTGGGCCCCGGAGGGGGAGGAAACGCTTCAGACCCCACCTTTGTGAGCTGGAGAGGCTATTCATCACAAAGCCCTCTCGATTCTGGGATGAGGGCCCATTTTTGGTATCCTCCCTGCCAGAACTCAGGGAGAAGTCACCCAGGGTTACATGGAATGAATTGCACAGTCAATGCAAAAAGAAAATTATAAAATATAAAATAAAATGCCATGACCAACTGGAATGCCTACAGCAGCCTTTTCTGAGGTTAGGCACACTTAACTGTCAGCCTCCTTTTGGATTATTCTAATTTAATTTACATGAAATTAAATATTTTTGTGTCCTTGAAGATCACATAAGAATTTCAGTTGGTATGACATATAGCAGCCAAAATGGACAGTTTAAATATTGTCTTGTAATACTATTGCTTTGAAAGCTGTGTTGGCCATCAATACATCTTCCAATGAAATTAAAATACTCTTGTAAAAAGCTAACTCTACATGAATGTTATGGTCTGCTGCAGATTGTTAAAAAAATAAAATTGAATGTATTAGATTCTGGAAAATACAAGGAAATCTAAAATGTTGCCCCTATGTTGGATCAGAATCTTCAAGTATTGGATAGCACACAAGTAATAACTTGTTATGGTTCATCGCAAAGTCAGTCAGATGTTTAAACTAGATTTGGCATTTTTATTGTTATTACTGTAGGGGAAGAGCAAGCAGAGCTGGGAGGGGCAGAGTTAAATGTGTCATCAGTTTAGAGTTGTTACGTTGCCACAAATGGTCCAAGTCTAACCCCTCTTGAATTTTGTTGACCCTTATCTGGCATAGATTTAGCACTGAACTTTAGTTGATTGGATTCTTGTGTAGAAACATAAGCAATAAATTCTTTTTGGATTGCAACTTGACGTATGGTCCTTATCCTTTGTGCTTGACAATTACTGTTTCAAGGATCAATAGGTTGTATTTTTGTAACAACAGGGTCTACTGAGCTGAATGTTTATTGGGACCAATCGTGGGAGAAGTTTGCATTGGGAAATAATATTGATCAAGTTTGTCACAGTTCCTTTTTTACTTGTACAGTGGATCTGAGATGCAATAGCTGGATGGGAGACTACCAGGTAATCCAAGGATAGAGTTTAGAGTGAAAAAATTGAAATAAACTTCCCAGCAGGTGTCAATGAATAAATCACTTCCCTGGATGGTCAGTTGATGTCCCCTGGAAGACACTGAATGGCTGAGTTCTCTTTGAGAAAAAATGCTTCCAATTTTCTGATCTCTTTATGGTCTTTGGTTGTTACTGATAAATTGCTTATTGAATGAAACCAAAACAAAGGTTTGATTTCAAAAAGGCCTTTCAGGAGACAACTGAGAAATGTCTCTGCAATCTGAGCCAGAACAATTGTTCAGAGGGAGAGATCAAAGTGAATCTGTTGAATCTTCTGTCCTAAATGGCACATTCAAGAAAACATTCAGGTCCATTTGTCTACGCTCCAACCTCTGCCCCTTGGTTTCTTCTTAAACTAAGAAATCCTCTTTATGTCCAAATGACATTTCCAACATCCTAACTGCATGATCTTTCTGGAACTGTTTTTTACTTATTGTATATGTGGATTAGTGGAGGGGAAATTAGGTGTGTATGGTGATGGAAAGAGGGGAATATGTTATCAATGTATGAACCGCTGTGGTTTACAGTGATGCTTCCAAATTTTTTTTTTTAAAAAAATTGGGCTGTACACTTTGCAGAGAGGCGCATGGATGCTTGCGTTTGCTTGTATTTATTTATGCTTATTTGGGATCCTTGTTTGTTTACGTGTCTGGTAGTAGAAGGTTCATTAGCTTTTCTGCTGTAGCTGAGGCAGAAAAACAGGAGAGTAAAAGCAACGGTCTCCAACCAAATGTTACTTGTTTTCCAATTCGTGAATGTTGTAAAAAATCTAATGCACAAATATATCACTTATGCAATCCGCCTGTTATTATCTGCTTACATAAGTAACCTTATAGCAAGATCTCCTGTTCCATTTAATACATTTTTCGACACGGTAGCAGAAGCAGCTCTGTGACAAGAGAATTTACCAGGCAAGGCAGTTGACAAGCCAGGCTTTAAAATGCAAAATCTGCAGAAGGGCTGCCTTCAATTCACTGCTTAGGTCACGTGATGCAGAAATGCTCAGCTCGACTCATAGGTAATTCCTATAAAAATAGGAATTTCCCAGACCTTGGCTTAGTTTACATTGGCCTGCCAAAAACATTGCCGTTCTAGATAGCTCTGAATAAAGATTTCATGAATGTTTTCATTTTTGTGTGAAATACGGCCTCATTTTCTGATAATTCCTCACTTATCTAAACAAGAGGAAAGTCTTTCCTTTTTGTCAGAGCTACACATTGGCGAAAGCCAGGAAAGAGATGGAGCACAAGACAAGGGGGAACGATTTTTTTTAACTGCCCAAAATTGAAACCACTGCATTGAAAGTCCTTTTGATAAAATACTAACTCCAAATCAATATTTGGATATTTTATGTAATTTGTTGATGTTGCCCATCAAAGAGATGTTAAAACAGATTTTATTTTTTAATCTTACTTATGGATTGTTGTAGTTCCCACAAAAACATCTGCTAAAAATAATAACTAGTTTATAAGCCTTCTTTATAACAGAAACTAACCATGCAGAATGTGAATTTGTTCATATATAACAACTTCAATTGCTGTAGCGCAGAATTTAGCTCCTTATCTAGAAATTTCAGAATAGTGAACCTTTAGCAGGAAACAGTTCAGGTGCCTACTGGGACCAACTGAAGTGATTTATGATTAGTGGAGCATTCAGTTCCAAGCTCTAAGGAGGACCTCAGGGGCAATGGATATGTGGCTGATTCAATCCCACAACTAGAGCACGCTCACAAATGCTTGTTGTTGGACTATTACTGGATTTCCCCAACAATGCCAGTCCAGACACTCCAATGCAGCATTGGCTAACCTTTTTGGGACCGAGTGTTGAAACGGGAACACGCGCATGTGCATGGGGGAGCACCATAAAATGGAAGAGCAGTTCCCCGGTGCGCATGCGCATGCATGCAAAGACCAGTTGGCTGGCACGCATGCGCTCACTGGAAACCAGAAGCTCAGTTTCCAGGCATGCACATGCACACCAGGGAGCTGCTCTTCTGGTTTCCGGTGCTCCTGAGTACATGAAGACTAGCTGGCCAGCACACATGTGCACCCTGGAACCCAGAAGAGCAACGGGCGACGGCTGGTGTGCCTGGAGAGATGGCTCTGTGTGCCACTTCAGCATGCATGCCATAGGTTCGCCATCATGGCCTAATGTATTCCTGCTTCTGATTAAAATGTTTGGGACACATCTGCATTGCATAAATCTAATTATTGGCATTATTATCCATTTATTTTGCCAGCAGTAGGGGAGAACCATTTTAGAGTCCAATCTGGGCTATTCACTAGGACCAGAGGTGTGGTCTTCTGAGTGTTCAGACCAGTGGTGAAATGTAAAATTTGTTACTACTGGTTCTGTGGGCGTGGCTTGGTGGGTGGGTGGGTGGGTAATGTGACTGGGTGGGCATGGCCAACTTTTTTTTTTTTTACTTTTTAAAAGCATTTTCATACCGGTTCCAGAGAACCGGCAGTAAAAAAATGCCTAAAAAGTAAAAAAAAAAAAAAAAAAAGTTCCGACGATCACGCGTTGCTCAGCTGATCATCGGAACTTTTTTTTTTTACATTTTATAATAAAATCCTTATTAGAATATATATTTCGGTTTTCTTTCTTTGAAGTATACAGCATGGAAAACAAGATCCATCCGTCTCTAATTAAGTGCAATTACCCCAGGGGGGGAACGGGGCTGATTTACGCTCTGACAATGGTAGGAGAGGATGGTTTGATAACATTTTTACCGGCAGTTTATCTCACAGACGAACAAAGGAAATATAAATCAGGAAGTTAGAAAAGAAAGAATATCGACATGCGCAGTAGCTCAAAGTTTTCACAAGACTAGTCTTATCTCTGTTGCTATAGATACGTGATAAAGTTCTCTGGCAGGCTACCGTAACGCTCAGAATGGACGCTCGGCTGACAAACACATAACACAGTGACATTTTACTACTGGTTCAGCGAACCAGTAGCCTTTTTTACTACTGGTTCGGGTGAACCGGATCGGACCGGGAGCATTTCATCCCTGTTTCAGACTCGTGCTAGAGCCCACCCTCAGGGAACTTCTGTGAGAGAAGAGAGAGGTTCCCTGAGGAAGGGCTCCAGCATGAATCCAAAAACTCAGAAGATTAAACCTCTGGTCCCAGTGACTGACCCAGATTGAATCTGGCAATATTATCCTGGGACTCGTAGATTTGCATTTATTCGTGAGAACTATTTTATTTTGGTCTTCTTAATCAAAGCACTTGATGTTAATTCTCTTAGGTGCAGGTCAGTGTGAGAACCATTAAAAAGAGCTGCAAAGGCCTAAAATACTTTTTGCGAAATGACTGGAGAATGGAGTTTTCTTGAAATGGACTTAAGCAATGTTCTTGATCAAAAAGAAATAGCGTTCTTACTTGGTCCTGATGTTGGCTCGGTGGTCTTGAGTGGGCTAACTTATCTGGCAGCCTTCTGTCAAAAGCAGGCCCATTCTCCAGACGGGGCTCCCGAGGTTTGTCGAACCAATCTGTTTCTTCCCGACGCAGGTGGTAGGCTTTGAAAACCAAGGACACAGCATAGACTCTGAGTAGGAGATGTGAGAAGACTAACAATCTTGGATGCACAGTCAACATGCACAGAGCAGCTCATACCTGGGCATGCATTGCAAAGCTAAAATAGCACACAAAAGATGAAGCGGACAAATATAAGTTAGGCGCAAACACAAATGGGCGGTGCCCAATTAAGACTGTGTAGTTATTAGAATAACTTAAGGCCCTTTGGCCTTTAGTTACTTAAATATTTAACACTTCTGAATTGGTTTTTGTTGGCAGGTGGCTTCATAAACATGTGCTTAAGTGTTTAAAGACTGTCTTTTACCTGCATTTCAAACATAGCCACTAATATCAGAATATGGTATGTCCCAGTTGCATTCGATGTAGCTAGTGGCTGTGATAGTAGATGGGGAAAACCTTGGGTGTCAATTTTCAGAGTTCAAGCGTTACTTACCTTCAGGGCTAATTTTATGGAAATGATGCATTCATGCCCACAATGGGCTTGGAAGTATATTTTAACATAACTTTAAAAATGTGTTTCCTGCTTTTAGCACATTGGTGACATTTATATAAATATTGGTGATCCACTGATTTTAAATGCTAGGACAACCTACAAACAGATTCAACCAATCATTTCTACTTTCCTCTTTTTCCTATAATAAAAAACTACCTTTAATTAAATACCATATGTTATGTAGTGTCTAAACCATTATCCATCGCAGTGTTTCTCAACTTTATGATGGCTGGGGGATTCTGGGAATTGAAATCCACCTATCGTATCTTAAAGTTGCGAAGGCTGAAAAACACTGATGGACAATATGTTGTCCTGTTGTGCAGCAGTTGGTTAAGTGAACCATGATCCTTGAGTTATAGGCAGGCCCTGAGATCACATTAACCAAATTTGGAGATCAAATGTTTTGGTGCCACCAACATGAGAACCAGTTTGGTGCCGTGGTTGCAGTAGAAATCAGGAGGCTGTTGAGTAGACCCACCTTAGGCAGGCTGGGTGACTTTGGGCCACCCTCTCACAGCTGAACCTACCTCAAAGGGTTGTTGTTGACAGAAAAATAGGAGAAGGCAGGAGTATTAAAGATGTTAAAATAAGAATATAATAACAAGATGATTTCTCAGGTGTTTAAATTGTTTTAATGTTTACTTCTGAAAATTTTCCAGACAGATACTTATTGCTGATATTGAATTCTTGATGACAGATTCTGAGGGGGAACCATATAGTTCAAAAAAATTAAACTATAAAAATAACCAATCTTTCTATCTGCTTACATAGATTTAATTTTAAAAAATAGTGATTTGAAGACTAAATTTTAAAAGTGTAATCTACATAAATATAATATATGTTTGATAATTCCTCTACTTTTAATATTACAAATGTTACTGCAGTTATAGACCAACATTAATAACAAAACCAAAACAAATTGTGGTAACAGGGCATGTAATCATGGCTCAAGCTAAAAATCAAACATATACTAAGATATTCAGAAACATAAATAATATAGAAATAAACAGAAAAAAAACAGATTATTAAACACAACATTAACATTGTATGGTGTGTGTTACAGATACATACATGTGTGCAGTTACACACACATTAATGTTGTGTTTAATAATCTGCTTTTTCCTGTTCTATCCATATATATGTATGTGTGTATGTATCAGACACACACACAATATCTCTTTCTATAATATATATATATATATATATATATATATATATATATATATATATATACACACACACACAATCTACACACACACATACATATGTATATACATTCATGTACATATTATATATATATATTTATATATATATATATATATATATAATATGTACATGATTCTTTGAACAAATATATATATATATATATATATATATATATATATATATATATATGTGTGTGTGTGTGTGTGTGTGTGTGTTCAAAGAATCACATGTGCAGTTGGAAAATGAAAAGATCTGCCTTCTTAACTAGAAGCATTTGTTTCTCATAATTGCCTCTGAAAGGGGACTCAGTACTGATACCTATGTGGCTCTGATGAAGTAGACTAGTAATTCTTTTAGGAATAAGAAAACTGTAATTTACATCTCTATAATAATCACAGAAAAAGAAGACATGGATCAAATTTACAGAGTATAATTTACTGATTATTAAGAGCAAGCTAACAGACTCCAATTGCCAGGATTATCTTTCTTACTGCTCTTATAGACTGAGATAATAGCCTGCAATACCTTTTAGTAATTTTCATAATAAGGCTAACATAAAAGCATCCACCATCAGGCGATTTCTCAGGATTTCTGAGATTACAGAATTGGGCAAAAGAGTTTTTCTAAGTTGCAGCAATGATATCAAAATCTGTATCTGCTTTACCACATAATGTATTTATCTGCTTCAATAAAACAGGATCCCTATGCATTTTCCCCCAGTAAAAAGCTGGGTATTTTTATGGTGTTGGTGATACTTCTTTAGTATAGTTATATTTATTGTAAACTGGGTCTTGGGCCTTATAAAAATCTTGATCAAATCTTCAGCTCTACCTGCATTCAGTTAAAGTGGATATATAAGCATAACACTCAGATATAGTAACACTGCCAGTGAAATATTATATGGCTCCTTTAAGATTTAGAGCCTGTAGACAGAGATCAAAAAAACATTTTTTAACAAGTTGATCTGGCTTCTACAGAGTAAGTGAAGTGGCATGTAGTAATGCAACCAAAATCTGCCCTGATATATGCTTAAAGTTCCGTGTTTGTATTCATTCTTTTAAATTTCTAGCCTTCCAAAATAGAAAAGATTTTACTGGGTCAACAGAGAAAAACTGAAGATGACCAATCTACCTGCTGCCTAAGAAATTACAGATCAGGTTATGTATCTGTATGCAAGTGATACCTTCAGTTCTTGCCCATCGATAAACCCCAATCAACTCATTAGTTTAATTCGTAGTGAGGGGATTCCACACCCATTCATTGATTGTTTCATCTTAACTGAGAACTCCACTTTTCCACACCTTAAAACCGCTGCCGTAGTTTCTCATTCCAAGGCTTTGCTGAACAGCTTTCTCATAGCAGTCAGGCCCAAGTCCCCTTCCTCTCAGCTACAGGCCCACCATCGCGACCTCCAAAAGGGGCCTGCAGAGCAAGAGGGGACGAGAGCTGATCCGCCACCCACTGCTGTTGGATGGCGGATCCGCTGTAATCCGCTGCTTAGAGGGAACAGGTGTTTTTGTCCCTCCTGGGATCCAGCTCTACCTGCAACCATTGGCCACCCTTCTCTTAGACCTTGGTAATTCAGGGACAGGTGACGATAACATGTTACGGCAGTGCAAGCAGGCAAGGGGACTGGGAGCAAACGATGCTTGAAGCTCAGAGATAAGGGAGTTAATGGTGCAATTGCGTTTAATCAAGATTTTGTGTTGATTAAGTTGTTACAATCAAAAATGTGCTTTCTCATTCTTAACAACAGTGCCCTGAAGACCACTCCTGCTAAACCAGTCCGTGGGGGAAAAACTTTCTGAAATTACCAGCAAAGAGCAAAGAAAAATGCACATGCAAACAAAAGTGACAAAATGCAAGTCTGCCAATATACAGTGAAGTCAGCATGCTGAGAAGAACATGCCTATACACTCCAGACATATTTACATTTACAAAAATGTAGACAGGTGGTTTTTTAAAAAGTCACCCTAGTTCCCAACAGATGTTGAAATCAGACACATGCATAAAATTAGGGTTTGTGCTGTGAAATGGAGAAGGCAGCCTGAAGTCTGGTTTACCTTCACTATCTGACATGGCATGCTGGAAGTCGTCCATGAAGAAGGCAATATCTCGATCATAGCCCCGAGCGCGTGACTCCTCCCTCATGTGCTGCTGGACTTCGGGCAGGGAATGGCTTGAGCCAAACTGATCCCTGGTGTCTGCAGATATGGGGGGCAGCGGCCCAGCAGCCGCTCTGGCCATCCCCATTGGCTGCCCCACTGGACTTAATGGACTCTCTTCTTCTGAGTTCTGTGCGACTATTGGAATCCGCCCTCTGCTTTGACTTATGGGTAGACTGGTAGGCTTAGTTCTTCCAGAAGGAGCTGCATGGCTGAAGGAAACATCGAGGGGTTCGGTTTCCTGGGCTTTCAACCTTAAAGAAGAGCTGGAAGAATCTCGTTTTAGTGATAGGTCAAGCCCGTAGACAGAGGATGGCCTTGAGGATGGTCTAGATCTGGTAGCACTGGCGTAAGATTTGTCCACCTCATCCTGCAAAGCTGACCTCATGGTGACGCTCAGCGCTGCTCCAAGACTCGTTCCCAGGGAATGAGACAAAGTGGGAGTGATGTACTTCTGCTGGTCTGTAATGTTTTTCCGAAGGCCAAATGTTATCTCATCTTGGAGAAGTTTTGCTTTGGAAGGGATGCTCCCAACTGAAGAGGTGTTGGAAGTCAAATAAGTCGAATAATCAAGCTCAAGGTCTCTGCTTTCCTGAATGGGTGAAAATTTAGATAATTTGGGATCCATCAAAGCCTTTTTATGTTTGGACTGCTTCTGATAAAGAAGGGCTGCTGGAAGCTGCTTGGCAGCTTGCTTTTCTAGAGTGAGCCTGCTTATGCTGTATTTCTCAGATTTGGGGAAATGTCTGTAGTTCGTATCTGCATGATAATAGTGGGAGAGGCCAGCTAAGTGATCCATGCTTTCTGCGCCCCTTCGGAACTCCTGCTTGATCTGATGTTTCAGAAGTTTCAGTTCATAGGGATCCTCCATTGAGTCTTCATCGGTCTTCATGTAGCTGTGCAGCCTGGAAGATGTTTGCAGGGATGAAAGGAAATCCGGGACCTCTTGCACTCTTCGGGCCTCGGTGGTCCGTAGGAGCCTATCGGCTTTGCCAAGATCCTTTTCGTGCAGCCCATAGGCAGAACTCAGGGTTGGAGCTTCTTTGGTGAGATCCCTCATATCATCCAGCAGCACATAACCACGTGTGCTGTGGTGCTCAAGGTCTGCATAGAAGGAGTCACCAGAGGTGCTAGAAATGGGGCTGCTGGCCATGCTGCTCCTCTCGTCCAGTCCCAGCCTCAGATCCAAAGTGCTATACTTGCTGCCCAGATGAGCCACTGAATAGGCACTATCAGAGGACGCGGGTGCTATCATGAGAGACGGGTTGCGGATGATGTCATAGTTTGTTGTTATCTTGGGTTCCATGTATAATGAAGTTTGCCTTGCCTTTTGCGGGATCATCATCAACGGAGAGGAGAGCTGATAGGAAGGTTGTAAAGTTGGTGGGGGTTGAGCCTGAGGAGGGAAGGACACCGGCACCACGGTTTGGGTCTGGTAAGGCGAAACCTGCTGTTGATATAAAGGCTGCTGCTGCTGGTAATGAGATTGCTGCGTGTAGGGAGTGGGTGCCTGAGTAGGAAGGGCAGGGGAAGAGTATTGGTACTGCGTGTAAGGACTTGTAGGAGTTGCAAACTGAGTTTCTGATTGTGTCTGGGGCGGTATGAATTGGTCAAATTCTGTTTGGGGTGCAGTCCTCGGTCTTTCCAGGCCATGCTGGGATTCTGCCCTGGCCGGCCGGGTGCTGCTGACTTCACTATCGGACATATAATCCCGTTCCTCCGCTACCCCTTGCAAGTAGGCTCTCTCCCTCTTCTCTCTTTCCTTGAGCAGGGCTTCCTTGCGTCGGTTTATGCCCATTTCCAAATACCGGAGTTTTGCGTCTATTTCTTTTTCTTCCTCATCAAGCTCTGCTTGTTTTTTGCGAAGCTTAGCAGACTCTCTTTCTACCAAGTCTAGTTCTCTGTCTATATCCTGGAGGATTTTAGCTCTGGCCATTGTGTTGCTTCTGCATATCCTCCGGCGTGAAACTGATCCCACGGTGGAGAAGGCCGGTTGTGTTCCTGCCGAAAGGTCCTCGGGAGGCGGGTTGGGTAGTGTTCTCTTGACCTTCTTCTGCAGTCCTGATGATGCTGTGGCACCCGAAGTCTCTTTGGCTTGCTGCACACACAGAAACAGAGAAGATACATTGTTTTGGAAACGGATAGCACTACGTGTCACCCGTCAAGTATTTCAAAATACATGATACAATTTACTGAGCTCTTATGGAGCTCAGTATTAAAGAATGAAGTGTTTATCATTGTTCTAGACAGTTTGAAAAGTGAATCAATAAAATTCATAAAGAAGGGATCTACAGTTTCTTTTACCCATTAAGCAGAATTGACCTGCCATGCCAGAAGCAATGTCTTCGTATCGGGAACTGGAGAGCCAGCACTATGGAAAGACTCTTTATTGGATTTATTGAACAATTTGCCTTGCCCTTATGGGATTTATTGAACAATTTGCCTTGCCACTGCTGGGAACAAGAAACTGGATTAGGAGACGTCTGATACTGCAGTGGGACAGCAGAATCAATTCATGACCTGATCATCCATAATATTTTAGGCCTGCAGCAATCCTTGTCTTCTACCAGAACGTAAGATTGTTGTGCAAATTGAAGAGACTAGGGTGCCACAAAAAGTGTGATTTTGCCTGCTTTATTCAACTGCCAAAACAGCATCGATGCCTGCAAAAATTTGAGCATATATACTAGAAGTGGAACAACAGAGAGAAGATTAGCATTAGGCAATATCGATGAAGAAACACTTCCCATGAGTGACAGGAATATGCTTTACCTACTTTCAATTTATACATTCTAGAAACCATGTCTAATGGGAATACTCCATTCTGGTTTGTATCTTACATACAATTTCCGTCGAAGATAAGTAATGTTAAACAGAACACACAAAAAAGGAGAAAAACGCTAAGCCAAAATAAAAATTTAAAACAATTAAATGCCTGACATAAGAAAATTAAAATCCAATACCCCAATACCATTCACTAGACCAGACTACACTTTATCACTGCAAATCACCCTTGTTTCTAATAGTGTTCATTCAGCAGACTTCATACCTTTTTATTGTTTTTCGCTTTTAAAAGTTCTTCATATGTATATTTTTGTGCCTACTGTATTCTATTTTTAGTATTTATGATTTTTAAAAATGCACACAAAATTTTGGGATTAAAAACCCCTTCTGGAGGTAGATTGAGGATTATATTACAAAATTCTGAGAAGTAGAGGGGAGGGAAACGTATATGTTTAAAACTACATATTAGTTTGGGACAACTGAATCAAATTGATTTGTTTGAAATACAGAATGAATCTGGCCCATATTAGCTAAATAAAACTAATTTCTCAAATACAAATTAGATGGTTTCTGACATCATATCTTCTCACTGGGGCATGATTCAAGAATATAAACTTCCATTGGAAAGTAATGGTTGTTTCATAGATGTAAATCTTTCTAAATTGTGGCAAGTCCCATATTCAACTTTCAACATTCGGTTAGGATAAATCACTGGAGATACGTAAGAGATGTATCATCTGTGCCAGAATTTCTTTAATCATTTCCCAGAAAATACCATCCAGTCACTCTGGATCAATTCACTAGTTTCTGGGCTTTTTTTTTTTTTCTCTTCTGGCAGCCAGCAGACCCTTTGCTGCCCATTGGGAGACTAAGATAGATCTATTTCGGCCTTATAAGGCCTCATCAGTTAGCCACACCCTCATCTCATGTATCCTCCCTGTAAAGGTACAATATTTGTTTTTCTTTCTTTTTCATAGGTTTTATGTGTATGTCTCTTTAGCCAGGTTCTACCTACGTAAACCAAGATATTATACAGCCCTAGTTCAGTGAAATCATAATTCACTAGTTTCTGGGCTTTTTTTTTCTCTTCTGGCAGCCAGCAGACGTTTTGCTGCCCATTGGGAGACTAAGATAGATCTATTTCGGCCTTATAAGGCCTCATCAGTTAGCCACATCCTCATCTCATGTATCCTCCCTGTAAAGGTACAATATTTGTTTTTCTTTCTTTTTTGTAGGAAAAAGAAAGAAAAACACACACACACACACACACACACACACACATATATATATGTGTGTGTGTCTGTGTCTGTGTCTGTGTGTGTCTGTGTCTGTGTGTGTATATATATATATCTATGTAGGTCTTTGGTTATTCGGGTTTTCTCCCGCATAAAATTGGAAGTGTCTTGCCGAAGTTTCAACAAAGTCTCATTTGTCATCTTCAGGCTGGTGTTTTTGGCTTCGTGCTTCTAGATATATATATATATTTTCTTACTTCTTCATAGGATTTATGTGTGTTTTTCCTCTAGCCAGGTTTTTCCTATGTAACCAAGGTTTTTCTGCAGCCAAACCTTGGTTACGTAGGAAAAACCTGGCTAGAGGAAAAACATATAGATAGATAGATAGATAGATAGATAGATAGATAGATAGATAGATAGATAGATAGATAGATAGAGATAGAGATATAAATATTGATAAAGATATATAGATATAGATATAGATATAGATATGAAAGATTGGAGACCGGATAGAAATTGATGATCTCTTAAGGAGCGGGTGCACATTTTCCTCTTTCAAGGCCAAGGGGGCTTTGAGACCCACTCAAAGAAGCAGAAATCACTGCATGGATCCCATGACAGATCACCTCCCACGTGGCCTCACCTGCATCTAACATATTGATGGCTGAGTTTACAATCTGGAGCACCCTATCCCCTTCCATGGGAGGCACGGCTGGAAGCTCCCTCCAGAAATCCATACTGGACTCCAGGCACCTCCATTGGACCTGTTCACAGAACAGATCTGAGTGACATTGCCTGCCAGATAGCAAGGATACTCTTCACACAATGATCTCCAAAATATTCTACTTCTGATTATGGTGATTTTTAGCTCATAGGATGACCTCAGCTGGACCCAACTTAACATTCTTGGAGAAGTAGAACACACAAAGCCAACAAGACTGATACTGAGCAAATCATTGGCAACTTATCTTTTCTGCAAATACGGTAGATGTGCTCCATATATTCCATGTGTTTAAGGAACCATACTTAATTACAATCCCTTTACTGTACACAGAGAGGAGAAAAAACTTAGAAAGAAAAAGGCTAGTGTATATACAAGTGTGCCCTTGTGATGTGAATACATATAAGTTTTTAAAAATAGACCAAATGTACAAAGAAAAATGTTGGTAAGTTAATTATGTAAAGAAACGACTACAGTATATCTCTTTTCAACTTTAAATAAAGTAGATATGGATAAAGTAAACTTATCCTAGTTTCTAACATGACAGGCCTTCATTTCCAAAACCATTCATTAAACATTTCATCTACTCCAGTGAGTTAACAAAGCAACGCTCATTACTACAACGTATAGCACAACAATTCAGTGTCAACAGGTGAAGAAAGTGTTCTTACCAGGAAACCATCCGCATACTGGAAATGAGCTCTGGAGAGGAGATCTTCAGCCGTGGGGCTCAGAGGCTTCGGGTCTGACAAAGTACGCTGGATCCCCTTGGCAGACTCTGGGCTCAGCTGAGCAGCTGTGGGCACGTCGGCATGAAGCATTTTCTGAGAACTAGTATCTTCAGCCATCAGCTTCTCATAGGGCACAAAGGCCGACTCCATGACTGCAGCTGGAGAAACAGGTGAAATGGGAGAATAGAGGACTTTGGGAGATTTAGGAGCTGAAGGAGCTACCTGAAGGGTGTTTTCAGGATGAAGGTGGGATGAATAGCCTATTTCTAATGGCGTTGGGCGCTTTTTATCTTTCTGAGGGGAAGTGGCTTTATGATACGGGGGACTCTGGGTGTCTGAATCTGTTTCTGTCTGACATCCCAAACTTCCTCCTTTGTACGTCTTTTCTGGAGCTGAAATGTGTTTGACTATTTCTATCTTTGCATCTAACTGAGCCCTAACCGATGGAGTCCTTATTGTTCCGACAGGTTCAGTTTGTACAGATATCTCTGCCACGGTCTGTACCGCAATACTGGAGACCTTGGAAAGGGGTTTACCCTTATCCACTTCCACACTCCCTTCGTATTTCCCTACACGGGTCTTTCTTCTTGATCTATTGGTGGGATCCCATTCGTCTTGGTCCTCATCATCCGTTTGAACACTTGTATCAACACTCTTTTTGGTTCTGTGTCTCCTGTCTGCATAGCCTAAGTCTGCACTATCCTCATCATCCGTTTGGACGCCGCTCTCCACTATCTTTTTAAGACCCCTGGGTTCACCTTCAGTGCCTTCATCGTGTTCCCCATAAAGGCCATGCAGCTTTGGTGTGGAACTCTTCTTTTTTAGTTGCTTTTCCTCTCTCACATCCACATCTTTAAGAGATAGCTCAGAAACAGAACTTAAGGTCCCTGGCTTGGGAACGTACTGAGTCATGCCCTCCGATTGGACAGCGTACCAGCCTTGGCTGTCTGGAATTTCTATCCCCAGGAGAGCAGAGGTAGTGGTGATCACCTCCTCACCAGGCCAGAACTGGCTGCTTGCAGCGTATTGGCCATCGAGGAAGACTTGATCTGTGGTCGTTTTTGGGGACACCATTTCAGAAGGATCGTAATTATATTGATACATCTGGTGGATTTTTTGCTCTTCTAAGTGCTGGTGAAGCTGCTGTTGAAGTTGTTGAATTTGTTCGATATGTAGCTGCTGCTGAGCCAATGTTTCTTGTCTCATCATGAACTGAGCCTGCCTCTCTTCTTCCTGCTGATAGAGAAGGTGGTGCTTCATAGAATGCAGTTCCTCGAGCTTCTTTTGAACCATGAATTGTTCTTGTTCTCTAAACCTCTGTATTTCTTGACGTTCCCATTCTAGCTCTTCTGCAAAGCGCTGCTGTTTCAGTTTTTCAAGCTCCAGAAGCTCACGTTCTATGTCCAAATGCTGTTGCTTGTCTTCTTCGGTGTCAATGAGAACTGTTCCTTCATCTTCAATTCCATCTAGGAAGGCTTCAGAAGCTGTACTGAAGACAGGCAGTGTTGGCTCAGTGGCAATAGCTTCTAGAGGGAGAGGTTGTATCCCTGGGTCAATGCCAGGAACGGAAGTGTCTTTTTCAGAAGCTATGGTTGTCAAAAATTGCAATGAGCTTGGGAGCGCCTGGCTCTGTGGCAAGCTTGGCAAGGAAGGCACTGAATCAATGGCATGAAGAGAAGGCAGGTCTCGGACTGAAGTGCTGAAAATAGAGCCAGGCTGTGTGGTGATAGCAAATGTAGATGGGATCGGAGCTGCCACTGAGGAGTAAACCACCCCGTTGGAGGATCTCAACACACTTCCATAGGGGGCTCCTAAGGAGGAGACCATTCTTGCTTGGGAATACTGAGGTGCACTAATGCCAGAAATCACATGCCGGCTCTCTGGATATGGATCAGAAATCTTGCTTGAATAATCCATAATTTCACCTGAAATTATAGGGGAAAGTTATAGTCCAGTCCCCCAAAACACTGTCTTTAATTTTGGTGTGGATTCTGAAAGGCAGCCTACAGAGATGAATGATAAATATGAGCAATAAAGCGGGAAGGAGCTGCATGCAAATCTTCAACATTTTATTGGGCAGGAGAGGAAGAAAAAAAGAAAATTTTTGAGCATGCGGGCACATGCGGGTACCTCTTTCCATAAAACAACTGATGAAAATTGGAAAAAAAAAATACATGGGTAAATTCCAACAAAATTTGCCACAGTGTTGAACATAAAGCCTAACGGAAGGGGGAAAGGCAAAAAAAAAAAAAAAAAGAGGCAAAAATCATCCTGAAATGAGGTGAGCAACATTGTTACTAAGTTTCCAAGAAAAGTCCGATGTCTTGTCATACTGACCTGTAGTGACTCTGCCAGAAGTCAAGTCTACTGCTAGATCGGCCGCCCCAACCTGGTACTCAAAGGCGTTCTTGCTCTTATACGGATAGAGCCCAGCCTCGGACAAATTGGTGTCTGACATGGAGGGCTTCATGCCCCCAGTTCCCCTGTAAGCGTAGGACCCGGAGCGGTCATACTGGTAGTGGTCATCCCTGTAGCCAAAACGATCTTCCGGAAGGGTAGTTGCTGGGGCTTGAGCGGTGCAGCTCCTCCCAAATGGCAATTTGTAAATCACATCGCAACAAACAGCCCTTTTCCCTGCAGTCAGATCTACAGGTTTTTCATCATCTTCTATTACAGTTGTAAAAAATCCTGAAGTCGTTTCATCAACGGTCACCATTGTTCTGTGGGATTTTGTAGTGCTCAGGTCAACTACACCACTGTCCACAGTTGTGTGAGCGGGAGAAGCAGTGATGCAATCGTTGGTTACCCCAACTGGAGGTGCGGTGGCAGGCTTTGTAGCAGCCCAGGTGAGTGCCGATGCTGGCGTACCCAGGGAGAGATTGATGGGAGCGTCTTCTCTGCCTGAAAAGAGGGCCTGGCTTCCTGTTATTCCAGGATCGAGCTCAAAAGGCTTTGACGTTGTTAACTGAAGTGGAGTTGTCATTCCATGCCCAAGGTCTATGAGGCTTTCTATACTTGCACTGTAACTTTGAGTAGATGCACAGGTCACCACTGAAACGGCATCAGCCACTGGAGCTAAAGAGAGGCTGACCATGGACACAGTACTAAGATTTATGATCCCTGGCTGAACTGTGCTTACCCACTGCCCAGAAGTGTCACCTGCCATTGTCTGTCTTCTCGCATCTGTGGGAGTGGCAGATAGGTCCATACAGCTATCTGTTCTATCAATACTAGTCTTAGTCAAGGTACGGAGATCCATAACGTCACCAAAGACATGGGATCTTACGTTTTCTCTGTATTTAGTTCTCTCTTCCGCAGGTACTGTGTCTGGGGGTATAGTTATGGAAACGCTATCTAACCCGGCATTTTTTACGAAAGACATGGCAGTCCTGGCAATCCCTGTTGTTATTAGTTCTGTAGCGGACTTAGGCACCATGCCAAAAATTGGCTGTCCAGTAGTAGTAGTAGGGATAAAAGCAACAGCATTCAAAGCATCTGGGATACTCTTGCTTTGATCTGTTGTACTTTGCATTTGCAGTGAACTTACAGATGGCATGAATAATGTCTGTACAGCCTCTGGAGCTTGTTCCCTAAGGGGTGAAGCTGCAGGCCAACTGCTGATGGCTTGGCTGGTAATGGATTCAATCGGAGTCCCAGGCTCAGAGGGCAGCGTGATAACAACATAGGTTTCCTGAGAGGGTTTGGACAACCTCGGGGAGGATTTATTAGAATGTGGAGATGATGGGGAGGTGGGAGAGGTCAATTTGTATTCAGCAGGGGAAATCAAGTTCAGAGTCATGGAGCTGGTAAAAGGCAGACCTGCTGGCTTGGACTGTGTTTCTGTTGGTTTATGAATAGCCACCGGTAACTGAGGAATGGCTGGTTTAGGAGCAATAGGAGGCTTTATTATTTCAGAAGGTCTGTGCGTGAATACAAGCCCTGCTGGAATTAAAGCTGGCTTAGGGGGGACGGGAGGTGGGGTCGGTGTGCATATTTTTGTGACAGGAGACACACTCGTTTTTATAGCAGAGGTATCTCCTACTTTGACAGTACTAATGGATGATACCATGATGGGAGCTGTTGTCACTGCAGTTTTAACTGGCGGCTTCTTTTTAGGATAAACGGCTGGCTTTGGTAGAATGGGTGGGGGAGGTGGGGGAGGTGGGGGTGGAGGAGGAGCGTACGGTGGGGAGGGATGAACAAGAGATCTTTCCAGAAATGAGTATGTCTGGGAACTAGCAATGGAAGCTGGAGAAGTTTCAGGTGCAGGGGTAACAGAAGAAACAGTACATAATGGAACTATGCAGATAAATTCTTGGTCAGATACAGCATCTATTCCTGCCACATTAATGGAAATCCTTGAATATTCATCTTCAGAAAGTCTCTTTAGTTCATTAAACTTTGCCATGTCTCTTCCCACTTTGCCATCTTCTGCCAAGGCAGCAGGGACAACACTTGTGGGTTTTGTTTCCACAGAAGTGGATACAAAGGAATCAGTTTCAGGAAAGGTAACTGACCCCTGACTGGCATCAGTCAGATCTTTGGCTATGGGTGCCTTCTTGGGGGATAATGCAAGAGGTTCGTAGTCCTCAATTTGGGAAATTGTAGTAGCCTGTGCCATTGAAACGACCCCTTCTGAATCTGATAGTCCACTAAGAGCATCTACTGAATCTCTACAAATGGTAGTGATGCCATCTGATCCAGCTACAGGCGAAGGCGTGCCAGTTGTGTAAACAGAAGATGTAGATGATGTGAGAGAACATGTATCCGATGGGAAAACAGGGGTGGCACTTTCTAAGACCTCTGAGTCTGTCAACATGGACGTTTCCTGGGAAATAATTTCTTCCATCTCATGGGCATAATCAGTGAAATAGTTATCCTCTGTTTCTTCAGCTGTAAAGTGCTGGGTGATTTTAACATCTGGAATGGGCAGCACTACAGGGCTCCCGGACGTTGTGTCTGAAACTGCTGAAGAAGTGCTCGAAACTAGGGAGTTACTATCTCCTGCTTCTCCAGAGAGGTTCCTCTTTGTGACAGAAACTAATTCAGGGGATGACTGAGTGGGACTGGAGCCTGGGGTCAGCTGTATTCCCTGCCGCTTCATCAGTTCTTCATAAACCACATCTGCATCTAGCAGCTGCTTTTCATCACTCGAAGATGGTGCCACACTGTCCAGGACAATGATTTCATGACTTTCGGGCATAATGTAAGAACTAGAGACAATGTCCTCCTGAGGCATAATTGAATGCAAAAGCTCTATCCTATAATAGGTATCTTGTAAATCAATGGGTTTTTGCATAGGTTTTTCATAGATGTGCTCCGGGGGTTTTTTTTGCTCTTCCTCTTGGCTAAATTCCTCACACTCTTCTTGTTTTGAAATGAGGTTGGACTCCCCACTGTAAGCACCCTCTACTAACGATTCATAGATATAGTCTTCTATGAGCATGCCGCCATATAAAGGCTCCTTCTCGAATACCTCTTCCCTTTCATTTTCACCTGGAAGAGGTTTGGCCATCTGAGACGCCTGCAGCATTTCTTCATACACCTCCTCTGCACTTTTCAAAATCTTCTGATTGTTCCCTTGCTTGGCCATTCCGATGGGCTGCTCGTCTGTAGGAGAGTAGAGCGAGACAGCCGTTGGCAGCTTATAAACCTTCTGCACTTCTATTATTTTTTCTGGGCTGATTTCAAAAGCTTCAGGGTCAGATTCAATACTCGGGGAATATTCAGAGCAGGAAGATCGATGCAATTCCTCCATTTCTGCCGCCTGACGCAGTTCTTCAGTTGGCGAAGCGTCCTCGATCGGAGAAAGGTTACTGGGTGGTGTTTTTGGTCGCTCTCTCCTTCTCTGGGCTCTGAGCTCGTCTTTGTCTTTCTTAGACTTCTTGCTAGAGCTTTTTCGTTGTTGCTGTTCTAGTTCACGCTGTTTTTCCTGCTCCTTCAGCAACTCTTCCTCCTCCCTGAGTTCTTCTTCCTCGGAAGAATCTTCAATCGTCGGGAGAAGAGGCCCGTGTGTCCGATGTCTGGCTTTACGCTGCTGCTTGGTTTCTCCCCCCATTTTTTTGTGGCTGGGGCTGCTGTCGCTGTCTTCATCAAAGGATGAAACAGAGGTAGGAGATGTACCTGGGGTGAAGCTGGACGCATGCAGACTAGAGGATCCTTCTCCCCGTGATCTGTCCTCTGGTGAATCTGTAAGGCTCTCCATTTCTAATTCCGGCTCTTCATCAAAGTATAAACATCTCTTTGGTGTTTCTGATGCTTCAGAAAATTTATTTGTAATTGTACTGTTAAGTTCTATTGTTTTGAAGCGGCGAAGACCCCCTCCTCCGGTGGCACTAATTTCTTCACTCTCTTGACTTTTCGTCTCTCTATATTTTGGTTCTGGACTTTCATCAAAAGCCTCGTCATCATCATCATCATGCCAGGAATGGCGCCTTCCAGAATCCTCTTCATAGCCTGCACTACTTTTACGCGACACCCTCTTATGTTTTCCACCTATTCCTTTTTTGATCTTAACTTCTTCCTTCTTCTGAGTTTCATTTGCACTAATTTCTTTTAATTGTTTTCTGATGTATTCTTCATCTTCGGAACCGGAAGCATCTTCGTCAGCACTCATTTCCATGATTTGCTTCCGAATAAAATCCTCATCATCGCCTGAATCTGGACTGTCTTCTGCTTTGCCTTCATCGTCGCTGCTTGAGGAGTCAGCACTGGTCTGCCTTCTTCTTCTTCGTGGCACAGGGGAGTTTTCACTCTCACTGCTGTCTTCCACAGAGTCATAGCGCGGCCTTCTGGTTGATGCACTCTCTGCCACCCCTGCTGTCTGCTTGGGCCTTTTCTGAGGGGGCAAAGTTTCTTTACTGCCTTGTTCAGGGTCTCCTTCATCTTGAATGCTCGGTTTTCTCAAACCTTCTTCCTCAGAACCAAGAGGCTCTGAGGTGACAGGCAAGAGTGCCGTTTCACGAGAGACCTTTGTCTGCTCAGCAGAAAGGCCTTTGGTTCTTCCAGACTTCTCCTCCACGAGGCTTGTGACTTGAGCTTCCAGAATTGACAAGACCGTGCTTTCTAGCTTGGCCAGGTCAGAGGGGCTAGCTGGGCTGCCCCCTTGCGAAAGAGACTCTTTCTCAAAAGACTCTTTCAACACATCCTTCTCATCCGTCTGAATAAGACTTGGAATTTCACCAAGTGAACTCGAGACGCCATCAGAGGAATATCCTGTATCACTCAAGCCTTGAGGGCTTTTGGGCTGCTGAGAACTTGATATGTCTGATTTGTCATCTTCTTTTTCCTAAAACATATATAAACATACAGACACATATTAAGATTTACCTTTTCAAGGTAACAAAATAATAAATACAGTATATCTGTAATTGTGAAAACCTTGAAAAAGCAATGTGAGTGACAAAATTTGGTTAAGCTAGAACTTTTAATTTTGCATTTAAGCAATATAAAATACCACTTAACTTATATTTTCTCCAATTAAATATAAAATAACTGATTCTCAATATCATTCAGGAATATTTTAAAGTGTGGCGCTATATTTAATGGGACCACCATCTTATTTAGATTTAACATGTAGTATAAGAATACTTTGGTGCACATTCAGCAATAGAAAAATTCAAGTTGCATAACAAACATCTCTAAGAAAAATGACATGCTTCAGTGAAGACAAACTGCATGTAGAAGAGTCAAAACTATTTCAATCTTTAAATTTACTAAGGGTTTAGTTTAATTTAGTTTGAGTTCTTTTTTAAAAAGTTGTTATGAAGATAAAATCTGTTCTATATAACATATACGTAGAACAATTCAATTTAACACTTAATATGTTACTGACTTATTCCAGGCTGCCTGCTGGTTCTTGAGGCTGATGGTTGTCAGATCCTTCAAGCCTCAAGTTAGTATTCTAAATTTCAGAATAGCTGACTTTTATAAGAGAAAAAACAGTAAGGATTCCATGAATGAAAATCCTTCCCAGAAAAATATTAAGGAGCAAAGCCTCAAAAACAAGACAGTCACAGCCCAAATACAGGGGACACTACGGAGAAAGTAAAGTAGGTGATGAAACACAGCACAGAGTTCTCTGATAAGCTGTGAAACAAAAAGGATAGGTATTACAAAGGGAAAGAAAAGCATATAACATATGCATAATATTAGAGAAGTCCAAATCTGTAGATAAGGCTCAAAATTTGCTGAGGTTTGCAATAAACACCAAAATTAACAACAGAAAAGGCTGTGTGGAACAAGAGGAAGGTCAGTAAGCAATTGGTCTGCGAGTTGCAGTCATTGGCTATAGGTAAAAAATTACAGGGAGAAGCAGAACTATTTAATTATTATGTTTCATTATACTGTGCAAGGTGCAATTTAAATTGAGGTCAACATACGTGTGCAATTGCTAGAAGGGTGCATAGTTGTTTGGAATTACCAATAGAAGAGAATATTTATAGCTTAGGGTTGAACTGTGTGTCCTTAGTGCTCTCTGAGCTTGGTTGTTTCCTTGCAGCTGTGGTGAAATCTAAAATTTTTTGCTACCGGTTCTGTGGGCGTGGCTTGGTGGGCGTGGCTTGGTGGTGATGTGACCAGGTGGGTGTGGCCAACTTGCCATCACTCACGTCACTCATTATTAGAGCCAGGAGCTGCACACTCTGAAGCACATCCTGCCCTTCTTAAAACCCCAATGCTTTGAGTTTCCCTCCGCCATCCGGTGTGGGAAAGAGAGAGTGTGGAGAAAAGTCCGGGCAAATTGAGAAGGAGCAATAGGTGGGATGTGGGAAAGTGGACAGAAGTATCCGGGCAGAAGGCTCGTTTTTTAAGTGAGCTCAAGGCTGCCTAAAGAAAGATTGGGAAGCTCAGCCCCAGGCCCTTTCCTCCTTGGCGGCCAGTCCCATTCTAAACTTCCTGTAGAACTCCTGAGGCCGAAGGGCTTTAAACGGGGGCTGGGAACCCAAAAGCTGGCTTTCTTAGAATTTGCACAGGACTCCCTGTCACCTCTCACATTTACTTAGGGGGAGGGTTCAAATCCCGGAGTGATGGGGAAATGAGCGCCTTTTAACTCGTCGCCAATGCCTCAGGGTGGGGGTGCGCGCTAGCTCCTCACCTGAACCCCCCGAGCCTCCATCAGTGCTGCACACGGAGCCGAAGACTTCATAGGCGGGCTGTGGCGGGATGATGCAGTTGGCCACAGGCAGGGCTAGCCTGCGTTCTCTCCGTCCCACGCTCAGTTCGTTTCCCTTCCATGCAACCATCAATAACTCGCCCTTTAACATGATTTGTAGACCTCAAATCTCAGTGTTTGCAGCTGAGAGAAACGCCAGGCCCTTCCTGGAATAACCCACTGCCCTCCCTGCCTGCCTGGCTGCAGACGTCCACCTGCCCTCCCGGAGCACCGCTGCCGCCGTTTGCTTTCGTTTCATGGTGGGAGAAGGAAGAAAGCAAATGGCGCCGTCTCCGGGAGGGCAGGCGGATGTCCTGGGCTGCTGCACATGTCCCAGGGCAGTGCAGCGGCGGAGTCTCCACCAAGGGCCGCCCACCCACACACTGGCCAGGCCAGGCTGGATGCTGACCTTCGAAGGCAAGCGGGTGTGGGGGACCAACAGGAAGGCAGTGCGGAAGGCAGGCAAGCATGGCAGGGCTGTGGGGAAGGGAGTAGGCTGCTAGCTCCCTTCCCCGCAGCCCTGCCATGCTTGCCTGTCTTCCACGTGGCCTTCCACTTACCTGCCTTCACAAGCTGGCCACGGGGACACTGGGAAGGTAGTGCAGCAGGCAGGCAAGCATGGCAGGGCTGCAGGCTGCGGATCAGTTCGGGGGCATGGCCAGCCAGCGGTCACTACCCATTCAGCGAACCAGCCACAATGTGCGCTACCGGTTCACCTGAACCGGTCCGAACTAGTAGCATTTCAAAAGAATCAAACGAAAAAAGAAAGATTTCATCCCTGCCTTGCAGGCGTTTCATTACCCAACTAGGTTACATCATCAGTGTTGGAGGAGAGGAGAGCTTGCTCTCTGATTACATACAGGAACTAACCATATCTAACTCTACTTAGTTTTTTCAAGACAAGCCAAGGTTCACTAAGTGCTGCCACCTGCTGTAAATTACTCCCTTCAATCAAGCATAGCTCCTATGAATGTCTCCAAGTAGTTTTTCTGGCATGACATAGAAATAGATTTTGTCAATTCTTAACAAGAGAGGAATGTTAAGCACTTACTGTTTTTTCTCTCACTGACTCCACAGGATAAGATTTTGGTAACGATACGGGTAGATCTTTGGGTAGTTTATGAGCCTTTGAAATGGTTTCTGATATCATGGGATGTTCTTCCTGCTGTTTTGTTTCAACATGCATTTCAGCTTCCGGCTTTTCTTCAAACGATTGCTTTCGTTCTAGTACGTGTCCGATTTTGGGGAGGTGGTCTGAGGCTTCTGATGGTGGCCTTTGGCCGTTACTTGTCTCGGAAGACTTTGGTTCCACCCTGGGCAATTTCACTTGTTTTAGTTCCTTAAATTTCACAGAATTTTTTAAAAGCTGATCGGCAGATGCCGTTTTCATTATTTTTGCTGGAATTCGTTTTGAATCTTCTTTCTGAATTTGATCAGAGGATAGTATTTTGGCCAATTTTGCCTGCTGAAATTTTGGTTCAACTTTCACAATTTCACCATCTGAGGCTACTTTTGTCATTTTGTCTCGATAAATCTTTGGTTCTGGCTTTTGAACAACTTGTGGAATTTTTTCAGCTGATGGTATTTTTTCCAAGGTCACCCGATCCATCTGACTCTGATCAGCAGATGGTAATTTGACTTGAATGGCTGGGTCTTCCTTCTGAGGTTCCTCCCTGGCCAGTTTTACCGGTTGATATTTTGAGTCTTTGGATAGAGGTATTTTCACATGTTCCATGTTTATCTTATCATGTGAACGCTTATCAATTGTAGCCAGTTTTGACTCATTTTTAAGAATTTGATCAGCAGATGACGATTTTCCCAATTTTTCCTTTTCTGCTTTTGAATCTTCTTTTGAAATTCCTTGAATGATTTTATCAACAGATGTTGTTTTTGCTAATTTTCCTGGTGAAAGCTTTGAAATATCAATTTTAAAAATTTCTTCTTGGATCCTATCAGTAAATGTCTTCGTTAAAAGTGTGTCTTTCTTTACCTTTAGATCTTCTTTCTGAATTTCTGAACCAATCTTTGGTTTTTCAGATGGCAGGGCAGGTTTTGCTGAAATCTGTTGTTGTTGGTGCAACTCAGTAGGTTTGGACTGACTTTGAAGGACAGGATTTGATGGTCTCACTGGGGATTTTGGAAACATAGGAGGAGTGATTTTCTCTATATCCCCAAGTTGTCCTGATAGCGCCCTTTGAGTTTGGCAGTTTAAGCATAACCATTCTTGGACCTGGAATTTAATGAATGGCATTACATTACTAAAAACGTATCTCACTAAAATAGTAACACTGATATTTGTAACTCTAAACAGCATCCTGACTTTAAAAACAAGGTAACTTACTTGACACTGAAACTATACTCTTTTTGACTATGCTGACTGCTTTCAGACCTGCTCTTAGCAAGATGGACTATTGTGTTCCTCATTTTTTCTGCTAGAATGGTACCTTTGTTTATGTCGTGGTGATGGTGGCCCTTGCATATTTCATATTCTACAGTTAGATTAGAATACAGCATAGAATTCAGGACAAGGATTGGGCCCAGGGTTGAGTCCCTTGGGAAAAAGCTTTTGCATATAGGAGAGAACCACAATTAGGATTTCCTTTCCGATACAGAAGCTTGCCAGCAGTGGTGGGATTCAGCGGTTCTGTCCGGATCACGCGAACTGGTAGTGGCGACTGCGAGAGGCTCCGCCCACCCGTCCGGACGTAATGTGCGACTACTGCGCATGTGCAGAAGGCTGTGTGCATGCACAGAGGTGGTGCATGCGCAGAGGTGGCACATGCGAGCAAAGCAAGTGCGCCTGCGCGTGTGCTTACATTTGCGAACCAGTAGGGAAGGTAAGTGAATCCCACCTCTGCTTGCCAGGATAATGATGGTGCCTTCTTCTAGAACCTGCCTTAGAATAATCAAGAGCCATTTGCTCAAATGTCTCCCTTTCTCCCCCCCCCCAAAAAAACACAACAACAACAAATTATGGAAATTCACCTAGTTCTATTTCTATGCCTTCAGGAGCAGCTCATGTTGTTTTAGTGTATTCCATGTTTTCCTGTCATGAATAATATTTCTGATTCAAGACTTTCCCATAAGTTCCTCTTTTTTATTGTTATTCAGAAAAGAGTTGTTTGATTTCTCAATAATAGAAAGAAATACTCCAAGATGGCCAAAGAGACAAACAGCTTCCCCCACACTCCCAAGTTTCATGAATTTGTCTATGTGAAAGTTTTTGCAATTGGACTACAGAAAAGTAACATGACTGAATTCAAGATGGACTTTAGTAAGCCTAACCGCACTACTATTTTTAGTAGAGTGTAAGAAGCACATGCTATTTAATAAATATATGATTTATTATATATTTATATTTATAGATTTATTATATATTTATATTTATAGATTTATTATATATTTATATATTTTTAGTAGAGTGTAAGAAGCACATGCTATTTAATAAATATATGATTTCAGCAATTCAGCTATACATACACATGCATTATGTATAATCAGTTACATTTCATAAACAATAGAGTAATGTCTATATAATTACTAAAATTATATTAATTCAGAGAATAACCCAAAATGGCGAGCAAGAGTGAATCACCTATGGGAAACAACCTGGAATTTCTTTCCCAAATAACCAAGTTCAAAGCCATAAGGATCTACTGTGTCATTTTATAAGCATATAAAACCTGAGATATGAGAAAAACATACAAAAGATAAAAGAAGGATACAAAAATCTCTGTAGGGTTTGAAGAAAGATATCTGGTGGTGCTTGGCACTTGCAACATAGCAGATAGCACATCCTGGCCAGTTCCTCTGAGATGCCAGTGCTTGTGGCTACTATTTTGCGAGAGCAACTATTACTAGAAAGCAGCACCTCCTTATATCGTCTGGTATCTTCAATCAAACCTTGCTTGATGACACTCAATTGTTATTGGTTTAAAAGAGAATCCAGTTGAACTCAGCTACTGATGAACCACATAAGCAATTTGGACATGTTGCTATGAAAGTGATTGGCCATTGCTTTCTTCCAAGGGTTTTTTTCCACTTCAAACCCAGGGTTAAAATGTTGTGTGAATTGCTTGAGGTATTTGGATAGCGTATAAATAATTTTGGTCTAGTGGTAAAGGCATCAAGCTAGAATCCAGGAGACTGAATTCTCGTTCTGCCTTAGGCACGAAGTCAGATGGGTGACTTTGGGCCAGTCACTCACTCTCAGCCCTAGGAAGGAGGCAAGGGCAACCAGTTCCAAAATCTCACCAAAAACGGGCAGTTTTTTGGTACCTTTGAATCAGCTAGGACTACGGGGCAACTGTACCCCCCCCCAAAAAAGAGGAGGGTGTAATCTTTAATAAATTTATTTTCTGCTGCTGCCAATTTCTCCCTACCCCACCCTCCTACGTCTTTTTTAAAGCAAGAAAGCCAACACACTAGGACAGTGATGACTAACCTTTTTCTCTTTGAGTGCCAAAAGTGCACGCCTTTGTGATAGTGCGTGCTGGCACCCATAATGCAATGTGCATGCTCCCGCACACGCACACACACCCGCCACCCCCCGCATGGGCCCATTTCCGCACTTCCGGAACACATGCGCCACTCCCACCACACATGCATGTGCGACCCCCATGCATGCGCGCACGTCTCCCGCATGCGCATCCCAAAAATCAGCTGGCCAGTGGGAGGCGCACATGTGCATGAGCAGTGGACATGAGCTGGGCGACGGCTCGCCAGCAGAAAGGGCTCCGCGTGCCACCTGTGGCCCGCGTGCCATAGGTTTGCCATCACGGCACTAGGACATTGGATAACAATAACGGATTTCTCTATAATTGGTGGTAGGTTGCTGTATTCTACCCTGAGTGGGTAACAATAAAGGATTCCCAGCATAGTACCGTAACTTTGTTTTACCATTCTGCTTTTTTGCAACAGCTATGCAAGAGCAATGGACTTTTTCAGCATGCATTGGCAGGATAATCTTTTTGCCTGGGAAGGCTTGAAGAATGGGGAAGTGGCACGATGGCTCCTTCAGAAGGGAAGTTCCTTCCTTTCCTTCTCTACTATAAACATCAGTCACCTCTTTGCAAGGATCAAACTGATAAGGTTGTCCCTGTTTTCCAGCAGGAGGGAGGCAGCAGATCTTTCTGAGATAGTTGCTGGGACTTTTTAATGATCAAAATCCAGAAAACTGAGGTCAGGCTTTGTGAACTACAACAAAACAGATGCTGAGGGTTTTATTAGTAAGGTAAGAGATCTTGCAAAAGGATAAGTTTAAAGACATTTAAATTTTTAAAGAGCAATATTTGATATGTAATGTATAAACCAGTATTGGGTTTCAAATCCCGGCGCTACCGGTTCACTATGGGTAGCATGCAGGCATGGTTTCTGCAAGCATTTTTGATGATGTCTAGGCGGGTGGGCAGAGCTTCCCACCACCACCGCTACTGGTTCGCCCAAACCGAGAGGAACCCACCACTGGTATAAACATTTCCACGGCACAAATTTAACAAAATCTTTACTTTAGAATGCAAGTACATACTGGATTTAGAAAGAAATGGAACATATCTGTTATTTATATTGCCTCAACAATCTCTGGAAGATCTGATCCAAGCTTAGGAACTGAGGTTGTTAGCTGATATTTTATTTTGTGTTATATATCACTTACTGTTTATTTGTATCCTGTTTACTAATTTATCAACCCAGCTTTTTTCAGTTTTTGCTCTATCTTTTATAATCTAGATTATTTTGTTTGCTTTAGTTTTCATTTATAGTCATTCTTATTTTCCTTTTGCATTTTAGATTATGCATTTTATACAGTTAACTTTTGTAAATATAACATTATTTTTAATTATTATATATAAATTTTATCCTTACAGTGTTTTAACTTTGATTATTCTATTATAGCTTTGCTAGTGTATTTATTATTTGTTTTGACTTACACGGCTGCCCATTCCCCTGCCCCCAGTGATACTGGGTGGGGCTTACCACCATAGGAACAAACGCCTGTAAGCTGCCCAGGATCATGAATGCAAGCCAGGTGGATACGTAAACTGAACAAACGAATAGACAAACAGATAAAAATACAGACGATACAAAAATAGATCAGGAAGTAAAATGCATAGTATCTGCAGAATCATAAGAAGCCCTGGACGTAGTGAACAAACGAGACTTTGTTCCACATTCGGGGTCCCAGGCTCAGGCACAGGGCAATGCACCGGAGCCGGGGAGGCCTAAAAGCCACCGCTGCTCAGTCTTGAGGCGAATCCTGTCCCTCCTCACCTGGACCTCCGCCCCCCCAGGGATCAGGCCCTGGGACAGGATCTCCACGGCACGGATTAGTTGTCCCAGGGCCAACCGAGCATCACAGGGATTCAGGCATGGAGGCTGCACATAGCAGCCCAGAGGGAGAGTCACTGTCAAAGGAGACCCATCAGGGCATGGATGGAGATGGGTCATTTAACCTTCTGGGGCAACCAGCTTGTTTTTGGAATCTGCATAAGGAATCTCCAAATGACCCAGTTAAGCACATGGAACAACCGGGGGCATGCTTCTTTATAACCTCCAGGGTTAATATTTGGATAAAAATAATGTATGTTTAGCTATTGTTTTGATTTGTCTTTCCCATGCAATCTGCCACAAACAGACAGTGATTTGGCTCTGGTCTGTACAGTGGCTGCGCAATAGGCCTCATAGCTCCTATTAGGACATTGGATGCCGGCTGTCTGAACGTTTAAGGAAGGCTTCTTCTTCTTCTTTGTCTTTGTCTTCTGTTTGTGTGGAATTGAAGTCTAAGTGTATCATCACCTACAAAAACACCCAGATTATTTTCAGCTGAATATATAGGTGAGATATTTAAATGCAACAGAGAGACCAAAAGTGCTAAAATAGAATCTCTCCAGAGACCTGTCAGGTTTCATGCCATGGATCTGATTTAATGAAGTGATTTTCTTTGAATACTAAGTGGGGCTAGGGTGCAGCAACACGGAACTATTTTTTTTTTAAATTATAATTTAAGTGTACACTATTTTACTTTTTCTGTCTTATCAACTTTTTTCCTGCAAAAATGATAATTGTGCATAAACAGGCTATCCCATAGCTTATGAGGGACATAGGAGGCTATATAGGTGTTGCTATAGTCAATACAATGATCACCCCATAAGTTGGGGAAGTTGCTCCCTGCTTTGGCTGTCATGAAATTTTCTCTTCCCAGGGGGTTATCATACTTTCAAACAAATCAATTCA